CGTCCATCCCTTTCGGGTGGTCTATTATGGCTGACTATGAGTCGCATTTGAAACAAATATTCTTTATTATGTTATGGTTATTTTATCCAAATTCTCATGTGACAAGTTTAAACTGACTGTTTATGCAGGGCTCCATTCCACTTCATTTGGCTGCAGGAAATGGCCACACCTCCGTGGTCAGCCTTCTTCTGAGTAAGTCCACTTACCAAATCCACACCAAGGACAGAAAAGGCCGGACAGCCCTCTTGCGAGCAGCAGCCAACGGCCACCTGGAGATGTGTGCCTTGCTGATTGGTCAGGGGGCTGATATTAACACGGCAGACAGGGTAGGATTATCCACTTTTCTATTTTGGTTTTAGTTATGGATATGTGCCCCCCCCCCCCCCTTTTCCTTTACATCCAAACACTAACACCCTCTCCCACTCACACAGACACCTGCCTCCCTCCCTTTTTACACACACATACACATATACACACAACATTAATATATCAATAGTTCTTTCATGATGCCAACTTTCCAATTGTCACAACAAATTACAGTTTGTCCCATTTCCTATTACATATAGACAATGTAAGTGCCGATTGGCCTGTAAAATATAGGTCTAGCCCTATATGCCTAATCCACCTAAAGGCGTGGAAAATGATGCTTTTTTTTTTATACTTTACATAAAGAGAATGTGAAAATGTATGTCGAAATGATTAGGTCTTTACTCTAGGGACTTCTTCATTACTCTTTACTTGTAAAAGGCGTCTTCAGATTTCTTTCATGAAACCTTACTTCTGCAGCCTCTATTAATTGTTTCACCGATGCTAATGTCCATGATTCGCTTCCATAGATCTGAGTTGGTTTCATAAAACTATTATGAATTCTCTATCACGCTTAATAACCAACTATATTTTCCTTCAAAATTTTCAAATTTAAATTTTTAAAATCTAAACTATGACGGTGTTTCCTCCAAATTATGATCGGTCTTATATTAATGTTTGCTCAGAAAAGACCAAATTAACTATTATCACCGTCATCCCCCTTGTGGGATGCAATTTTGCATTATTTTGAAGTCGCACCCTGGCTGTTGCCAGGGACCGCAATGTAGCCTAACGGTTGAATGCGGTTTGCGGGACCTCTCCACGGGTGATCCTCATCCGCATGGTGGCACTTTATTTCACCGGGTGTTTATGGCTCTGTGTGATGTCCTGGCGGGGTTAAAAACAAAACATGCTAGGGCTTGGTTTCTGGTTACATCTTCCTGTGAAGGAAACGCTAAAGAAAGGTTCACATTTGAAGCACACTATTCTTGTATTCTGCGGCGTCCGTGGTTTAGGCGTTGCGAGTCCGACTCGTAATTCCAACATACCGCGATCGAAACCCACTGCTGGCTGCGTTGATTTTTATCATGGTATGGGGCGTCGCAGGTCGACCAAGCCTAAAATGGGTACCAGGATGGCTGTCCTGGGAAAGTAAAGACGGCCGGCGTAATGCTGACCACATTACCCATCCAGTGCCGATTGGTCTGTAAAAATATGGGACGCTCTTCTCATATGCCCGATGCGCCTAAGACGGGAAAAGGGATATTTACTTTTTTACTTTTTATTCTTGTATTCTGCAGAACGGCTTCACAGCTCTTCACTTTGCCAGCAATGCAGGCTACATCAGTGTGGTCAAACTACTGGTTGAGTCTGGAGCATCAGCAAACTTTGAAACTAAGGATGGCAAGATACCAATCACGTTCGCGGCTTCAGCCAATCACATCGATGTGTTGAGTTATTTGCTGAGGAAAGATCACAGCACCCGGCTACTCATGGAGGACAGGAAAGTATGTTTATATTTGTTTCATTATATATATATTTTTAAATTGTGTTTTCCAGGCAGACCTGCAAGCACTTGGAGTAACCAACGGGAAATAGATCAATCGTCATCATCATCATCATCAGGTGCCTTGCCGACTGGCGTGGGCGATTGTGCCTCGTCACAATCTGCGATCTTCTGCAGCATGTATCAGTTCGTGTGCCGACACACCTCCATGCCATGCAACACACATTGTAATTGTAACTGATTCAGAAAGCATGCTGAGGAAGATCAGAACAGGTATGCTTCGTGCAGAGTGGCATGCTTCGCTGCGGAGGACACGAGTGAGGAGTATTGTCTGGATTTTTTCACCGGGTCAAGCCGGTGTGTTGGGAAATGAACAGGCGGACAGACTGGCTGGCTCTGCACAACTTGGTGGAATACTGCTACATGATAGGGCAGACGTGGTTAGTGCCTTGTGGGAGAGCGTGTACAATGCGGAGAAGCAGATGGATCACCACAGTCTGGTGAGATTGATGCAGTTGGGGGTGACGAGAGGTTCTGGCAAAAGCTCAAGGCTCAGATTATATACTTCTGATAATCTTACTTAAATAAAGCGGACACAAACATTCTATTGCACACTTCTTTGTTTGGCATGTTTCCCTCATTGCTACACAGCTTCAACATAGAATGGAAGGGAGAGGAAAGAATTGAATTCTTTTCATTGAAATAAACTAATCACATTGCCTTCTCTAGATTCACTGTCCGTCTTACTGCCGGAAGTTCTAGCTAGATAGTCACATGACTACAGCGGGAATTTCAAATTCCTTTCATTATCTTTTTATTGCTTGTTGATATCATAACTGTGCTTGTTTCCGAGCTAAAACTGACTTCCATTTCCTCTCTCCTAGTTTGTGTTTGATCTGATGGTTTGTGGGAGAATGAACAACAACAAGTGTATCGAAGAGTTCATTCTTTTATCTCCCGCTCCGGTGGATACAGCAGCAAAACTGGCAAGGAACTTTCAACTTCAGGTAAGAAACTAAACTCTGATGTCTTGACGAACTAGGGATAAGGCTAATGATTTTTTTTGGCTGAGTATGATGTTTTTCGGTCTCAGCTAACGAATTTTGATTCGGTTGACGAACATTTTAGTGGATGTGCGCACTAACATAACTCAGCCGCCTTGTGAGCTGAACCTTCGCAAAATTTGGAGTTAAAAATCTACCCAAAGTATTTCAGGATCCTCGCCGGTGCTACAGAGTCTTTGCACTGTGCTGAGCTTCTTCGGACTCAGACTTGAGTTAGGAGAAGAACGGAGCACTTATGGGTTACTACCCCAGTGCCATGATGTTGATCCGTTGTTCAAACTTCAAACTTGGACACACTCTCCTACTGTTGTTCCTCCATCTCTTGGTGTTGCTCGCCCACTTGTATCGTTAGTACCACAGGAGTTCTACTTATCATTCATTTCAGCTGACTTATTTTCTTACAGGCAGAAAAAGAAAAGGAAAGATCAAGGGACCTTGTTGGCGCCAGTGTGTACTGTGAATCTATGGCGGTTGAGCTGGCAGCCATCGCCTCCAATGTCAGTGGTGCCAGAAAGTTGCTAAAAGCTCTAGATCCTAATGGAATTCCTTTTCTGGATGTTCTCATTGAAATGGAGCAAAAGGAGGTATACAAATGTGCTGTTCATGTCAATCTCTTGAAACTTGAAGTATGGCTGACTGCACGAATACTACATTTGCCAGTATCTTCCTAGTACCGTTAGGTGTTGCATCAAGTATGGCTGACTGCACGAGTACTACATTTGCTAGTATCTGCCTTGTACCGTTAGATGTCGCAGCTTAACAGATGTTCGATAGCCGAGTCAAGACGAACTCGGATGCCTCGTATTCTGTTAGGCAACCCATCCAGAGTAGTGCCTCAGTAGACGCGAAATTGTTTACTTGCTATACGACCTTTGTTTGGAATACGACCTGTGTGTTAGAACCTGTATGATTCAAAATGTGTCACCACCCCGCTCGCTACCCTTGTTTACCTCTCTGGAGATAAAGCCACCGATAGATGTCAATGACTTTGCAGAAAAGTATCACCCCAATAAATCCAAACCAAACGGTAAAAGCATTGTCCACCCCAATAAAGCCAAACCAAGCCTAAAAGCATTGTCTGGAATGACTGAACAATGTCAAATTTCTCAAACATCCTGAGAAAAAGGCAGAAGCAAAGTTCTTTGGATAGGTATTGGACATATTTTAAGTCAGACCTGACGAGCCTCAACGAGATCCAGATAAAAAGAGACCAAAACACACACATACACGCGGACAAAACCACAAGAATTTCTGATTTTTGAAGTTTCCCTAGAAGGTGACACTCTTTCCACACAGCAACATCTTCTTCTCCTTTATTCTCAGCACCACCCAAGTAGCCACTCGACGCTTAGTGGTAGGGTAAGGTGGGATTAAACGTTCACTTATTTCATCTAAAGAAAACACTTTTGTATGTATGTAGTTTAGTATTAGGCAGTATACACATTACTTTAGACAACCGCATCGATGAAAATAATAATTATTATAATTTATGAAAATTATCAAGGAAATTTAGTTTTAGTATATAGGTATTAAACGAATATTGCATTTGTGGAAAAAAAAAAAAGGGGGGGGGGGGGGGGCTGGAAGAAACGAACGAACTTTATTTTCACGGTGTTGAAACTTTGGCGCGCTGGCCTGTCTAACATTCTGTCCTTCTATCTCCCTCCTTTCATACGTCATTTCAGTCATGTACCAAGTAATACTAAACATCAACAATGTTTCCATATAAGCACTGAAATGTGTACATTTCTAGCTACAGTAAATCTTAGTAATTGTAATAAATCTAGGGAAAATATGCGCTGTTTCTAAAATATTTATATCTTCTTTCGGAGCATGTAATCTGTGCTCGGATAATATTCGTACAGCTTCCGATTGTGTGTATAGGACTGGCTGTATTTTTAAATTGTTGTGGAAGATAGTCCGACAGTTGAACTGCGCAATACACCAAACTTGTTTTGTATATGCTATGCCTTCCATTATATCTAAACAACCGCCATAAGTGACATGCTTTTTAGACCCCTGTAGATTGTGAGGTCCTGAGCTGTAGCTTAGCTCATGAATAAACTCAACACTACCCCCTCCCTCAACCCCATTCCATGACCCCTAAAAATGTGTTGATAGATTTCTTATATAGATACCCCTGCTAAAGACAGATACAGCACGAATGTGAGCAGAGAAAAGACTGTTGATTAATCATCTCTAAGAAGCGAATGAGAAACAAGCATGAAGAAGAAGGTGGAAATTAAATCTAAATAAGATATACATTTCATATTGGCGTTAATTTCCTGTTTGTTAACTCACTATTTGTTAACTCATTAACTGTTTTCTTTTATGTACAACATTTTTGAGAGCGTATAAAGTGTATTTTCTAACAATGTTGCAGGTTGTGGCCCATCCTGCTGTACAGAAGTATTTATCAGACGTCTGGACAGGAGATCTTCGTTGGGCTAACTGGAAAATTGTCATGCTTTTCTTCGCACTTATTTTCATCCCTCCGGTCTGGATTCACTTTTCCCTTCCTAGAAAACACAGGTTTCACAAGGTAGCTCTCTAATATTTGAAGAACAAATCACTATAAGTAATTATCAGTTGGGACTTAACCGCATTTAAGAAAAAAAAAAAAAAATCCGAGGTGGGTTTTTGTAAAGACTAGTATTTTTACGAGGTTTCGGTTTAAACAACAGATCAACATCGTGGCACAAGGGTAGTAACCCATAAGTGCTCCGTACTACTTCTAACGCAACTCTGAGTCCGAGTTATCTCAGCACATGCACGAACTCCGTAGCACCGGCGAGGATCCTGAAATGCTATTGGTAGATCTTTAACTCCAAATTTTACCCGGGCAGCGCCGTTAGGCTACTCTTTCCTATTTTTAACTGCCAGGGGATTTTTTACGTGTGCGACAATACACACGGGCGTCCGGTCTTACTACCCAGAGACCAGGAAAAATTACTAGAAGTCCACGTGGAAAAAATCCCAGCCTTCACCGGGGCCTGAACCCGGGACCTCTAGCACTCGAAGTGGGCGCCATGCCTCGAGACCACTCAGTCCCCGAGATAACACTACAAGGTAGCACTAGAGAAACCATAATATCTTGGGCTGAAAACGAGGCATTCCGCTAACATTTAAAGCTGAAAACGGGACATCCCACTACGAATAAAAGCTTAAACGGGACATTCGACTATCATTTAAAGCTGAAACGAAATCAAGGCCGAAAAAGCCTTGTACGCTGATGACCTAGCAATATGGCAGAGTCATGAAAATGTGGAAAGTGGAGCCCAAAGACTGAATGGAGACCTTAGAAGACTGCATGATTACTGCCAAAGATGGAAACTCAAGATTAACTGTGCAAAGACGGTCTACACAATCTTTACCAAAAGCCACCAAGTAGCAAGGAAGAATATTAACCTGAGGTTAGACAAACACCAAGTGATGAAAGAAGAGCATCCCACATACCTTGGAGTCACACTTGACCCGCAGCTCAGCCTCAAGAACCATATTGAAAACATCAGGAATAAGGCATTGAGGCGGTTACAGTTATTAAAGAGACTTGCAGGTACATCATGGGGATCAGACAAGGAAACTCTGAGGGGCTTATACCTAGGATATGTTCGCTCTGTGATAGAGTACAACAACTCACTGCTTACAACTTGTTCCAAAACTAACCTAGAGACTCTTGACAGAGTACAAAATAATGCCCTCCGATTAATCTGCGGAGCTATGCAGTCTACACCAACTGCTGCATGTGAAATCCATACAAATGTGGAACCCCTCGGGTTGCGGAGAGAAAAAGCCACTTTAGAAATTTATGAAAGATGCGTTAGGAAAAATCGTAACCATCCTAATAGACATCTTGTAGAAAACTGGGAATCCAAACAAAGAATAAAGCACAAATCGGTTTTACACTGTGTAAATGAAATTCAGGACAGATACCACCTCCCAGAAAGACGTCAAGGAATTCAGAATGTTGCAAAAAACCTACCACCACATGCTCGCTTTAAAGCTCCAGAAGTCCAAACTAAATTGGTAGGCGAGGAAACCAAACAGTCCGACCCAATCGCTCTTATGAACTCATCACTAAAGACCGTTGGTTCTTACCCCCAAGAATGGATACATGTCTATACTGATGGATCAGCATTTAAAAGCTACCATTAAAGCAGGTTACGGAATCTACATAGGTTATCCCGATGGATCTGTTGAAGAGATTTTTGATGCATGCGGGGAATTCTGTTCAAACTATGAAGCTGAAATAATTGCACTGGAAACAGCAGTATACCACCTAAAGACTGTAATGGATGTTTACCCCTCAAAGGTCCAAAATATTGTCATCTTCACAGATTCAATGTCTGCCCTTCAAGCTCTGGAGGGCAATGAACGCTGCAGAACTGACATAGCCAAGATAATCCTGGATGCCGATCATCTTATTACCTCATACAACATCAGAATAGTGATGCAGTGGATTCCAGGTCACTCCGGCACACCAGGTAATGACAGAGCTGACAGATTGGCAAAGAAAGGAGCAACACAAGAACAACCACCTACAGCGACAACCCTCCAGACAGCAAAAACACTGATAAGAGCTATAAACAAAGAGACTTGGTTGAACAGATGGGCCATGGGAGACACTGGAAGAGAGGTTTATAGACATATGTCTGGCCCTGATCCTAATGACAGCATTAACCATCTAACAAGAAGGGACCAGGCCACCATCTTCAGACTTAGAACGCAACATACTCCACTCAATGGACACCTAAACAGAATACAGCCACAACACTCCCCAGAGTGCCAGCTATGTAACTACCCCTACGAAACTGTTGAACACCATCTCTTTGAGTGCCCAAAACTCAGTGAGACAAGAAGAACGCTACTCCCTCCGAGACCAGACAAGTGGAACACCTTGTACGGAGGAAAAGAACAGCTTGTGAAAACATGCAAATTCCACTACATGGCATTGGGCCAAAGGGCGAAAGCTCATGCGCCGCTGGATCGATAACAACAACAACAACAACAAAGCTGAAACGGGACATTCCCCTAACATTTAAAGCTGAAAACGGGACATCCCACTAACATTAAAGCTGAAAACGGGACATTCAACTATCATTTTAAGCTGAAAACAGGAAATATACAAAAAGAATGTCAGTTCACCACCGGCCTTCCTCTTTATTTTGGATGTTTTATTTAGATCATCGGATTGAACGGGTTAATCACTAGCTCGGCAGTGGTACTAAAACCAAAACTATTTCCGTCAAGAATGAACGAAACAATAGGCTCTTTAACTGTAGTGAACAAACATGCTACAATGAAAATTCTCATCAACACATTTCAGGCATTGCAAGTATCAAAAGCTCTTAAATCTAATAAGGCCTTCAGATATAAACATAGGTGTGTTATATTCTCCACCAGCTTATTCCTGAGTTTCTATCAAATGTGACAGTTGGCGGGTTTTTATTTTTATTTTCTTTGGACACCTGAAATAACAGAACTGTCAGGGTGAAAACGGAGTGTTTGGGTTTCCTAGTTCAGCGTTTCTCACACTTTTTTTTAACGCGACATTCTTGTCAGGCAGACCCATTCTCACGGCACATCTACCATTACAGCGGTTTAAATGCTAGGACAAGAAGAAACATAGTGCACATTCAAATCATTTGACCCAGAAAGTTTGCTTCTGAATCTGTTTTTTTTTTTTTTTTTCAATGTAAGCATCCGTTGAGAATACACGGCAGCCTTGGCTAATAGCATTGTTTTCCGAATATACCTGGATCCAGAACTCTTCTTGGCTTTCTTCACGGTATTTTTGTTTTAATCTGCTGTCTTCACTGATCTCAAGCAGATTTTGTTTTAAATTCTAGATTATTGCCGCGGCACCCCTGGAATACGCATCCTGAACCTCTGAGTGCCGTGGCACACAGTTTAAGAATTGCTGCCCTAGTTACACCCATGAATAAGTTAGTCGTTAGTCATGATGAATATAACACAAAAATTGACTAGAAAGCTCAACGGAAGAAATAAAAAAGACACAGTCGAACAGAACCGAACGTTTCGTGTTAAATTCAACATTTCTTGCAATCAGCTCGACTTCAGTCACCCCCTATTTACGTCATCACTTTAGTCGTTAGTCAACTTTCCAACATCACCGCAGACGGGTCGTCGCATGACTATTCCGTTCACATGCCAGGGAAAATCACACAAACTATCCTTCACTGTCGCATTAAAAAAACTAGTGAAAAGCGTGTCTGTTCCCAGCAAAATCTTGAAGCTTGCACACATCTATGAATATCAAACGATAGGTGGAACAAAGCAACATATGTCACTTTTTAGTAATCGGGAAAATAACATATTACCCTCCCCCCCCCCCCCCCCCCCGCTTCCTGTGTTAGTGTCGGGGCCATGTGATGGGGATGGCCTGGGGTATGGGGGGGGGGGGGATTATTGGCCCAATGCCTCCCTAATCAGATTGTCATAAGAGTTGACTGATAAGGGGATTAATTCAATGTCCAAGAAGCAATGAACTAACAGCCTGCACACAATGAAGCCAGGTTTGTAACATGGGTAAGTAAACAGAAAAGGTCCCTTTCCCACGCCTTTAAGCGTATAGGGAATTTAGGGCTAGACCTACATTTTTATAGACCAATCGGCACAAGATAGGTGATGTGGCCAACATCCCGCCGGCTGCCTTTACTTCCCGGGACTGCACCCGGTACCCACTCAAGGCTGGGTCGACCTGAGAGCCAAAATCATTTTGGAAAAAAAGTTCGGCTCCTCCAGGGAGCGAATCCACGACCTTCCGATCCGCGGCGAGCGTTTAGCAACGGGGACTCTATGTAACATGGGTACACACAAAAAATTCAGGCCCTTGAACAAAGCCAAAGTCTAAAAATGCACGAACAACAAGGAATTTCAGTGGGGGTTAACAGCAGACGAGCTCAAAGCAGCAAAACTTTCCCCTCAGGGATCGATACTGTGAAACAAAGTATTAGTGAACTATGCACCATCAGAAGAGGCATACTATCATCCCAGATTCGTCAAACCTCACTTATCTTCTTCTTCTTCTTTTATCATCTCACTGATACCAGGTTGGCCCAGTCTCCTTGTTTTCTGTATTTGTTCTTTCGCTTCTTAGATGGTGGATTTCTTCATCTTTTTTTGCAGGTTTCAGTTACACCATTTATCCGTTTCTTTCTTGATATCTCCTTCACTTTCCTCCCAGATGATGGCCTTACTCCTAGATGTGTTGCCTAGACAGCATAATCTCTCTCTCCCTCTCTCTCTCCCCTCTCTCTCTCTCTATCTCTCTCTCCCCTCTCTCTCTCCCCTCTCTCCCTCTCTCTCTTCCTCTCTCTCTCCCATCTCTCTCCCTCTCTCTCCCCCTCTCTCTCCCCCTCTCTCTATCCCCCTCTCTCTCCCCACCCCTCTCTCCCCCTCTCTCTCCCCTCTCTCTCCCTCTCTCCTCTCTCTCTCCCCCTCTCTCTCTCCCCCCTCTCTCTCTCTCTCCCTCTCTCTTCCCTCTCTTTCTCCTCTCTCCCCTCTCTCTCTCCCCCTCTCTCGCCCTCTCTCTCCCCCCTCTCTCGCCCTCTCTCTCCCCCTCTCTCTCCCACTCTCTCTCCCCCTCCTCTCTCCCCTCCTCTCTCCCCTCTCTCTCCCCCTCCTCTCCCCCCTCTCTCTCTCTCTTTCTCGTGCTGCTTGTGTAATCCGAAGAAAGCAAAGATAACACCAGTACATTTGAACAAAGCACGGTGCAGAAGCTGCAGGATCAGAAGAGCGTTCTCTACCTGTCCGTCTGTAAGCCAAGGCTGAGGGTATGATCTGTCCTACCCTTACATTACCTTTTCAGATTAAATTGCCTCTTTTTGGGATAAGGTTAGTATCACCCCCCCCCTCCCCCCCCCCAATTGCTCCTCCGCCCGAAGACCGGGGTTTGTGTTGGGCTTAAAGGCGTAGATATCGCAGCCCTTCTGTAATTCACAACACATCGAAGCAACCGGTCTTTTGAAGACATACACACATAAGAAAACAGATGCTTTTTATGACATGCTAGATGAAACGGTGCCACATAACTTACCTTTTTAAAATGAAACACAAGCGATTAAAGACATGGTTAACATCTTCCATGTTTTCTCTGATACTTCAACAGGTGCCAATCATAAAATTCCTGACCTATCTTGCCTCGCACGTTCACTTGATGATACTGTTGTCGCTTGCCATTGTTTCCCCTCTGGTACCCATCTACAAATCAGTCTCACTGATCCCCCACTGGAACGAGTGGCTTCTTCTGGCCTGGCTGTCAGGACTACTGGTTTCAGAACTGACAAATCCCGGAGATAGACAAGGTCTGGGCTGGATTCGAACCGTGAACCTCGGTATTAGTGCTGTAAGTATGTCATAGGTTTTATGTATGCCAAACAAATATTCTATATTCTCAGTTTTTATAAGCTTTTATTGTGTTTACAATTGTTGATTTGTTGATTTATTGGTTTGTTGGTTTGTCTGGATAGCCGACTGCGTTCGATTTTTATTTTTTTCCCCTATACCCAGTGACCTCGAAAATTGTAGATGACTGTTGGTAACCATAATTAGCTAAACTCGCATATCCTTTAAATTAAAGGATGAGATATACGTACAATTTAGTTTTGATAAAACACGTCATTGTTAATATAGTATTTCAAATTATAAATTATTTTTATATCTTTAGAGCATTGGTTAGTATGTGCAAGATAGTAATAAAAACTTATAGTATAAGAAGGCTTTTTAAATGTATTTTTTAAACGCTCTATGGGTTGAAATGGACAGTCCAATAGAACAGACAGAAAATCCATACATTGAAAGACTTAATTCAACGGAGGGTGTAAAGAGGTTTTGGAAATTATTCAATATTGAAACGCGGACTTTTAATCAAGCTACAACTGGTACTATAAACATAATTACTCTTCCGTGGCTACTGCAGAAGAGGACGGAGCACATGTGGGAATGTCCCGAGAGCAGTCATGTAAATTCCTTATTCATTCATTCAGTGACAAAAAGTATACACTGGAATAGAGTGAATTTCTTTCTCGATTACTTGTAACTGCATTTGTGTCTCATCGTTTCTATGTTTACTGCTTGGCTCTCTGCTAGTTACTGCCTGTAATATACAGTTGTCGGCTCTGTGGCTAAGTCGATACGAACGCTTTGTGATGCCGGGATGCCGGGTTCGATCCCAGCTGCGGGCCATGCGCCTTGCGTTGGTTTCGACAGTGGTATCAAGAAAGCCGACCGTCCAGGAGAAATGGCAAACTACTGGACGTAAATTTGCCTTAAAAACCACACAACCGTCAGGGGCTGTTGGGGTTGGTTCTACAACGTCCTGTAAAGGATACGCAGCTAACCTATATACAGTTGTTATATCAAATAAGATAAATCCAAAATTTGATGTGTCAACAGAGAGGAAGGTGCTTAACCAAGTCAATCAATTCAAGTATTTGGGGACAGTCATGACAGCAGATGGACGATATGTGACAAATTAAGAGCTAGGCAAACACGCATTTCAAAAGATGAGGAGTATCTTATGTAATAAATTACTCTCATTAACCATCAGAAAATGGGCACTGAAATGTTACATCGAGCCTGTTCTGTTGTATGGCAGTGAATCTTGGAATTTGATTAAACAAATTAAGAAACGCTTAGAGGCAACTGTAATGTGGTTCTTGTGAAGAATGTTGAGAATACCTGGGACTGCTAGAATAACTAACAATGATTGCCTGGAAATGGCTAATGTAAGTAGAACATTATATACAACAATGAAAAGAATACAACGTTCTTTGGTCATGTGATAAGAAATGGAACACTGGAAAATATCATGACGTCTGGAAAGATCACAGGCAGAAGAGGCAAAGGCAGACCAAGAGAAACGATGGTGAATGGCTTAAAACAATGGCATCAAGGGATATCACCCGTGAAATTGATCCAGAACACCAAAGACCGAGATCTGTGGAGATGAATGAACGCCTATGCCTGATGGCAAGGCACTTGATGATGATAATGTTGATGATGATGATGATGATGATGATGATGATAATGATGATGATGATGATGATGATAATGATGATAGTGAGTATACTCTATGCATGATTTTTTTAAAAGCATTTACAATTGTTTACTGAATTTTTCAGATCGCTATTTTCTGCCACCTTTTGGCGACCGCGTTTGACGACAATGATCGTATGGTACTACTGTATATCCGCAATCAGTTCTTCGCCTGGGTTCTGCTGTTGACTTTTGTACAGTTGTTGGAATTCTTGAGCTTTCATCACTTGTTTGGACCTTGGGCCATTATCATCAGAGACCTAATTAAAGATCTGGTTCGATTCCTAGTCATCTTGCTCATTTTTATGTTGGGATTTACGTTTAATTTGACAGCTCTCTACCAGCCTGTGTACAGTCCGTCTGTGAGTAGCGAGGTAAGAGGTTTGCTTTGTGTAACTGTTAGTATAGTTATTTGTTCTAGGTTTGCGACGGCTTTCTGATAGTTTACAGCTATTTGCTGTACAATTTCTACGGATAACTGTTAGAAGGCCATTATATGTTATAGGTTTGCTATGGCTAACAAAAAGGTATCTAGCCTTGTGTTTTACGATTTCTATGGATAACTGTTAGAATATCATTATATGTTATGTATTTGCAATGGCTAACTAAAAGGTATAGAGCTATCTGTTATACGATGTCTACAGATAACTGTTAGAATATCATTTTATGTTATAGGTTTGCTATGGCTAACAAAAAGCATAGAGGTATTTATTATACGATTCATACGGATAACTGTTAGAAGACCATTATATATTATAGGTTTGCTATGGCTAACTTAAAAGTATAGAGCTATTCGTTACCCTATTGCTATGGATAACTGTTACAATACCATTATATGTTATAGGTTTTCTACAGATAACTGTTAGTATACCGTTCTTTGTCATACAATTATTATGGCTATCTGTTATACAGTTTGTTTTTTCTACGAGGGTTAATGGTTACTTTGTCCAAACTGTTTGTAAACGTAAAAATTATCATGTCTTTCTTTTAGTATACTTTTATTTAGTAAAGGATTGTTAAAGCTAACTGTTAGTGTATCGTTTCTTGTTTTTGGATTTTTTTCCCTATTAGCAAACGGTTATTATTTAAAGGATTACTTTGGCTAACTTTCAGAATACTATTATTTGTTAGAGAATGGAAGAACAAACATAAATAAAGACACAAAACACGGTATCATGCCATTTTTTTTTTAAACCTGGCTGCTCCACACCATGAGATTAATCTATGACACCATGAGATTAAGCTGTGACAACATGAGATTAAGGTGTGACACTATGAGATTAAGTTGTGACACCATGAGATTCGAAAATTTCAATTTAGATGGCTGACAAACAGGGCAAAACCCGTACTGCCCGTTCAAACTCGAAAGAAGTCATTATTAGGGTACTGTAACATCAACATCAGCCTGGTGTCATCTGCAGTCATGTGACAGAAAAAGCTATACTATACATAAGTCGTCCCCTTGTGGGATACATTTTTTCGTTTTTTTCTGAAGCCCCACCCTGGCTGTTGCCGGGGACCCTAATATAACCTAACGGTTGAACGGAGTTTCTGGGACCTCTCCACGGGTGATCCTCATCCGCATGGTGGCACTTTGTGTCACCGGGTTTTATCGCTCTGTGTGATGTCCTGGTGGGGTAAGGTTTACTTACCTAAGGATATAATTGTAACTAACTATACCCCAATCGACTATCTTTATGTATCTTCTTGTATTTCTAAGACACGGAGAGGGAAAAAAAAGGGGGGGGGGGGGTGTGGATTTCTATATTGTATACATCCTGAAAATAAACTTGCAGAAAACCACCGAACAGGCACTAAAATCGGAAGTAAAGCAATTAGGAAAGGGAGGACGTCCAAAAGAAACCTGAAAATTATCGTTGATGAGATTGGACAAAGGATTGGATTCATTCAATGATATCGAAGGAATTGCACACGTTTCAACTGAATGGACGAATATAATGTGAGCCCTATGTGACAAAGGTGATGATTTTTTGGAAGATTACAAGGGGTCATCGCTAGAGATGCAGAGTTTGTCCCTGGCAAGACACCAGCCGTCTCACTCTCCATTTCTCGTGGTTTTGATCTTTGATAGGTCCAGATCAGTGACATTTGCTTTGAAACACACACAAACACACATACGCACACACTCTCTCTCACACACACAGATTACGAAATCCGGTGTATTTTAGATCAATAATGATTTGTCTAATACAAGTTTTTGTGTTTTTATCCTATATATTTCAGATCAACAATGATTTGCCTAATTCAAGATTCAATGTCTTCATCCTATACATTTTAGATCAATAATGATTTGCCTAATTCAAGATTCAATGTCTTCATCCTATACATTTTAGATCAATAATGATTTGCCTAACATAAGTTTTTGTGTCTTCATCCGATATATCTCAGATCAACAATCATTTGCCGAATACAAGTTTCTATATCTTCATCCGATATTGTTTAGACCAACAATGATTTGCCTAATACAAGTTTCTATATCTTCATTCTGCAGGTAGGAACAGGTTATCCAGACCCTCCTCCTCTGGAACCGCTGGACACATTTGAGTTCCTCTTCTTTGCCCTGTTCGGGTTGACAGACCCAAGTGCTTTCCCACCACTGAACCGAAGCCCCTCATGGACTCTGAGTAATTATGTTTTTGCTTTGCGTGTTTCATCCATTACTTTGTTGTTGTGACTGTTGTTCCTTTTCGTGTTGTTTCTGTGATTGCTTCTGCTGCTTTTTTTCCCCTGCCCTCGATGATATGTGTTGTAAACTAAAGATTTATAAAATGGCTAGCGGCTGGTGGTCACAGAACTGGCGGTGTGCCTTATGCAGTAATGCGTGAGAAGCTACTGGTTTGTCGTGACTGCTGCTTTCATCAACTATGAATTGCAGTTTTAGTTACAGATTATAGGTGTCGGCACAACTGGCAACTCACTTGTGCATTTGTGCGAGCTGTCGGATTTTGTTGGGCCTGCAGTCTAAATTTCCCCATTGGACAGTGATAGGCATTTTGTACAGTTTTAACTGGCATGGGAACGGAGCAATTACGGCGGAACCTGTGTGTGATTAAGTTGGAACCCGAATTGATAGCTTGTTGTCTGTGGCTTGTCATCTGTGCAAAAGAAAGGAAACAATATCTTACTCCTCTCTGTGACGCTTCACTGTGTAAGCAGTAGCACAAAAGACGAAGAAGAAGAAGACGTTACCAATTCAAATCTAGTATTTAAGTTGAGTTGAACTGAGCCAAGAATTGACATCAAAGCACTTGGGGCATTCCAGTGCATATTCCGTCCTCATCTTCAGCAGCCAGTGCAGAGTTCCAGTACTAATGGTACTGGTCGTAATTTAGTTACATGTCCGTCTTGCTTTTCCCTGAGTGTAGTGAGCCGGCCAGACCCCCTGGTTACATCCAGGTGCCTGATTCTCTCCAGGTCATAATAATCTTGTTTCTCTTCTGACCCCGTTGCTTGTTCCCAAAGGGCCCTGACCACATCTGCCTTGTCATGTATCAATTCACCACTCAGAGGTCAACGTTGCAGAGGTCAACGCTCTCATCAGTGAAAATTCAGACGAATGCACTAATCTACACAGACGGATCAGTTATACGCCAAAGAAGAAGCGCATGGGCATTTACAGCACGCTCAGCGGGCAGAACAGTCAAAGAAACCAACGGCGCCTTCTCCATGACAACCAGCAGCATGACGATGGAGGTGATGGCAGTGACGCAAGCGTCTGCCTGGCTTGAAACACAAAAATACACCTGCGTATGTACACTCAGTGATTCAATAAGTATGATCCGGAGGGTTCATGCAGGTTTGGTGCGAAGATAATGGCGTGAATCATTACAGAAGTCCACTGTGCGTGGAGTCACCTTTATTTTTGTTCCGGGATACGCAGGCGTCGATGGAAATGAAAGAGTTGACGGGTTGGCTGGATCCGCTATCACTACCGACGGTCAGCTTATTGATCATTCTGATAATAATAATGCCCTCAGAGAAATAGGAAGGATAGAGAACTTTGATGGCAGTGAATCCATATCACTCGCCAGAACGGCAAACTTGGGAATTAAGATCGGCACAGCAAAAAACGAGACGCACATCATACACGTCAGAAGACTTGTTAATCAACATAGAACTGGTACTATTAGCCATCGGACGTTGGGGTTCAAACTGAGGGGAGGATCTGAGCACCTATGGACATGTCCGGAGTGCAATGATGATAACCCAACTAACTAACTAACTAACTAACTAACTAACTAACTAACTAACTAACTAACTAACTAACTAACTAACTAACTAACTAACTAACTAACTAACTAACTAACTAACTAACTAACTAGCTCACCACCCAGTGGGGCAGATCTAGCCAGTCTGTCTGCCTGTTCACTACCCACTACGCTGGCATAGCCTGGAGAAAAAAATCTAAAGTATGCCCACTACCCGTGACCTTTCTAGTGAAGCTTGCCACTCTGCTCGAAGCATCCCTGTCTTCACCTTTTCTCAGCATGCCTTCAGAGTCTTTTACAGAGTCTGTTGTCTAGTATTCGTTACTGTTGAATGTTGAATTAAGAGTCGACATCACAGCACTCGGGACACCCCCATAAGCGCTCCGTTCCCCATCTCCAGCAGCAAGCGAAGAGTTAAAATTCCGATGGTACCAGTAACTGTCTGATTGTATATCCGTATATCCTTTCCCCTGAGTGTCGAGCGTCGGCCAGATCCCCTTGTAACTCCTCGCAGTGTCATTCTCCCCAGACCGTAATGTTCTATCTTTTTTTTTTTTTTTAATCGATCACCGGCTGTGAATTCCAGTGGAAGGTCCAGGTTAATCGTCCGCTTGGACTTTTGACTTTCACCTGGACCTGATTTTTGCGTGTACAACCGTTTTTCATTTCCCTGCCTCATGGGCAGCTGTACTCCGACTTCGAAGGAATGTTCTATCTGTTTCTCGGCACTGTTCACTCACTCCTAAAGGGCCCTAACAACTTCCAGCTTGTCATACATCAGTTAACCAGTAAATGGTGCAGAAGCGGCCAGTCTGTCTGCCTGCTCATTTCCCAACACACCAGCATCACCCGAAGAAAATATCCAAAGGGTGCTAACTGTTACTGTTTGAAACTAAAATTTGACACTTTCTTTCCAGTCCTGCTAAAATTTGTATTCGGCACCTATATGATGATAATCTTCGTGGTGCTGATCAACTTGCTGATCGCCATGATGTCCGACACTTACCAGCGCATCCAGCAACAGTCGGACGTGGAGTGGAAGTTTGGCAGAGCAAAACTCATCAGAAACATGATCAAGACATCGGCCACGCCGACTCCGCTGAACTTGTTCACGATACCGTACCTCTACTTGAAGATGGCATGGAAACTTAGATGTGAGTGGTGTTGTTTGTTTATGTCGTCTGCTCGTTTACTTGTCGGCGTCTGTGGCTTAAGCCTTGCGAACGAGCTTTGTAATGCAGTGGTGCCTGGTTCGATCCCAGCTTGCGTTGGTTTTGACAGTGGTATCGAGAAACCGACCGTCTAGAAAGCAGTGACAAACTACTAGATGGTAAATATGTCTAGAAAAACCACAACAGTTAACAAAAATGTGAGTTGTCGATATACCTACCTGTTAGCCCCGAGGTCATATCTTCAACCCCTGTCAAATCTGAATTTTGTTTAGAAGATGTTGACTTGGAATCCTATAAATCCCAACCTAAAGTGGGTACCAGAAATATCATGGAGAATAACGGAAGTCGACCTGATATTTCCCTCTCTGGCATCAATTCAGTTTATTTAAGTATTAGACCGATCGCTTAGACGTTGTGATCGCGCTTAATAATTCCAGGTTGTTAGGTCCTAGCTTAGCTAGAGGCGACTCGAGCAGACGGCATTGTGTTGGTTTCGACAACTGAATTGAGAGACGACCCTTTAGTGGAAATCGCAAACTGCTGAACTTAAAATTGCCCAGCGAAACCCCAAACAGCCAAATATAATCACTACACCACTGTTTCCCGAATTTTACTTAGTCGCGGTGCCATTTTTCAATTACATTTTCCCACGGCGCCCTAACCTAAGTAAAGGTATGATTATTCGTATGTAAGAGATTGTGTATCTTCGAATATTTTGCGGCGCCCTTGTGAGGAGGTCGTGGCTCCCCTGGGCACCGCGGCGCACAGTTTGGGAATCACTGCACTACACTGAAAATACATAGATATGGGCGCTTTACCTTTCGTTTTTAAATGCATCTGCTTATCCATTCATTATATAATAATTAATCCATGCATCATTAGATAAAAAGGACTCCTTTCTGCTAATCCTCACACTTAACAGCATATCCATTAATCATGTCACGCATTGGTCTATTCATCTACCCACTCGGCTTTTGATCACTCCCTCCACAGATTTATCCATCCATTGATCCATTCATCTATTCATTAATCCATCTAGTGATCCATCTATTCATTGATCCATCCATCCATATATCAGTTATTCATTAATCCATTGATCCATCCATCCATTGAACCATATATCAGCTATCCATCCATCCATTAAACCATATATCAGCTATTCATCCATCCATTGAACCATTTATCAGCTATTCATCAATCCATTGAACCATACATCAGCTATCCATCCATCCATTGACCCATATATCAGCTATTCATCCATCCATTTATCCATATATCAGTTTTTCATCTATCTACTAATCCATACAACCATTGACCCTATATTAAATATTCATGCATCTATTTATCCATATATCAGTTATTCATCTATCTATTGATCCATCCATTGATCAATATATCAGTTATTCATTTGTACATGATCCATCCAACCATTGACCTATATATCAGTTACTCATCAAACCATTGATTCATCCATATATCAGTTACTCATCCACCCATTGATTCACCCATATATCATCAGTTATTCATCCAACCATTGATTCATCCATATATCAGTTACTCATCCAACCATTGATTCACCCATATATCATCAGTTATTCATCCATCCACTGACCCATATATCTGTTACTCATCCAACCATTGATCTATCCTTCTATCAGGTAAACTCTGGAGCCCCGAAGCGTCCTCCTATGCAAATGAGGAAGACCACGACACACTATCTGACTCGCTCTCAATGGACAATTTCGGAGGATCGAATTTTCTATGGAAGCGCAAAAGTACAGTCGGCCCCGCAGGTGTGTGAAATTATCTGACTAACTTCTAACTTCACAACTGGGTCTCGAGCTATAGGTTGAGAACTGCTGATGTAGATGCTGGTATTCCTGGCCTTAGATATCCCATCTATCAGTTCCGGCCCCCTCTATGGGACAAAACAAGAACTGACCCACTGCCTCTCAAAAAAACATGTCGTATGAGTCGACTAATTATGGACTTCATTCCAAGTCAGAGTGCATCTGCCCGAGAGGCAAGAAACAACGAGCTGCACAAAAATAAGCCAGTAAAACGGATGTACACGAAAAACTCAGGCCCTGACACAAAGCCAGTTCAGATGGACGAACAGTCAGAACTTTCTGTCAGAGCCTTTAGCCGGTGAAGAAAGTAGATGAAGTTCGTGGCTAACATCTAGCCTCGCCTTTGGTGTGTCTAACTGACATGGATCTTTGGGGTGCACTATCTTGACACATGTCCGAACCATCTGTTTCGATCAGCTCATATAAACAGAAAAAAAAGTTGAATTGTTTTCAATAGTTAAACAAATAAGCTGGTTTCATTTACATGGCAATTACTTAAAATACATCCCCCCCCCCCCCCCAAAAAAAAGGACATTATTCAAACTTTGAATTGACACTGTCACCAAATTATAACTCATCTTTTTATAAACACTGTTATATTAACATTGTATGTCTCCGGAGTGATGACAACAGTAATCTTTACAAAAGTAGCAAGCACTCTTAACTTTAAAATACGCCGTAGCAGATTTGTTATATTTAAAAATTTGCGACAATAGTTTGTTTAAAAAGTTACATCCTAACTAACTTTGAAATATACGATAGTAGATTTGTTATTAAGGTGACACCCTTGTTACGTTTGTAATATGGCATTGTAGATTTGTTATATTTAGAAATATGCGACAATATTTTGTTTAAAAAGTTACATCCTAACTAACTTTGAAATATAGGATAGTAGACTGTTATATTTAAAACAATATGCGATAGTAGATTTGTTATTAAAGTGACACCCTGGTTAACATTCTAATATGCGATGGTAGATTTGTTATATTTAAAAATATGCGACAGTAGCTTATTTAAAATGTTACATCCTAACTAATTTTGAAATATACGATAGTAGATGTGTTATATTCAAAACAATATGTGATAGTAGATTTGTTATGTTTAAAACAATATACGATAGTAGATTTGTTATATTTAAAACAATATTCAATAGTAGATTTGTTATATTTAAAACCATATACGATAGTAGATTTTATATATTTAAAACAATATACGATTGTAAATTTGTTATATTTGAAACAATATACGATAGTAGATTTGCTTTATTCAAAACAATATGTGATAATAGATTTGTTAAATTTAAAACCATATACGATAGTAGATTTTATATATTTAAAACAATATACGATAGTAGATTTGTTATATTTAAAACAATATTCAATAGTAGATTTGTTATATTTAAAACCATATACGATAGTAGATTTGTTATATTTAAAACAAAATTCAATAGTAGATTTGTTATATTTAAAACAATATTCAATAGTAGTTTTGTTATATTTAAAACAATATTCAATAGTAGATTTGTTATATTTAAAACAATATTCAATAGTAGATTTGTTATATTTAAAACCATATACGATAGTAGATTTGTGATATTTAAAACCATATACGATAGTAGATTTTATATCTTTAAAACAATATACGATAGTAGATTTGTTATATTTAAAACAATATTCAATAGTAGATTTGTTATATTTAAAACCATATACGATAGTAGATTTTATATATTTAAAACAATATACGATAGTAAATTTGTTATATTTAAAACAATATACGATAGTAGATTTTCTTTATTCAAAACAATATGTGATAATAGATTTGTTATATTTACAACAATATGTGAAAATAGATTTTTAAAATTTAAAACAATATGCGATAGTAGATTTGTTAAATTTAAAACAATATGTGATAGTAGGTTTTTTTATATTTAAAACAATATGCGATAGTAGATTTGTTATTGAAGTGACACCCTGGTTAACTTTGTAATATGCGATGGTTGATTTGTTTTTTTAAAGTTGCACATTATTAACTTTGAAATATACGACTGTAGATATGTTATAAAAGTGACAACAAAGTTAATGTGAAAAATGTAAAGGCGGCCGGCCTGATGTTGATGACATCACCCACTGAGTGCCAATAGGTCTGGAGACCATAAGTCTAGCCCTATATGCCCAGTAAGCCTAAAGGCGTGGAAAAGAATCCTTCACTTACTTTTTATAATCTAACTTCCAATTGTGTGTAAATTTGTGTAACTGTAACACGTTTGTCGACTTTAAAACTTGTGAAATTGGTTTCGACGATAACACTTTTACTAACTTTAAAACTTGTGAAATTGGTTACAACGATAACACCTTTGTTAACTTTAAAACATGTGAAATTGGTTTTGACGATAAGACCCTTGTTAACTTTTACAATGACATAAAATTCGTTGTTTTACTGACATACATGTGTAAATCCACAGTTTTGACACCCCATATCACACAAAACATCGAAGATGTAGTCAACTGGAAACTGGTCTGTCACCGCTACTTGATAATGCAGGGGTCGTGTGATCTAGATGGGTCAGTCAACCGAGGTACTGACCTCATGGGCATGGACGCAATGGATGACCAGGTCAACGGTACAGATACATTTAAGAATGGCGCCACAAACCGAGCAGCGGTCACCTGATTGTTGTTGTATATTTTAAATAATATACTAAAATTGTTACCAAAGGAGAAATTAGCGTTGTGCAGAAATGTAATGTGAAATTTCATGTTTCGTTGTGTGCTTAATAATACCTGCCCGCATTCGACAGCAGGGTACGCCTGTAGTTTTTCTTCTTCTTCTTTTTGACAAAGCAAAAAGCAAAGCTCTGAAAACGTAAATAAAACTGGAAAATCGAAATACATGTCAGATTTACATTACAATGAATACGTCTCCAAGCTTGATTCGTGGTGTGTTTACGCTGACTTCTGTTCTGCATATAACGTCAGGCTGCTCAAACTGTAAATCTGATTCTAGATTCTGTATCCAAGTCAGAGAGAAATCAATATTGTCATTTTTGAGGTCTTCGGTGCGTTTTGTCTTTAACATTGATAGCCCCTTTCCAAGGCATCTCTGCTTTTGTAGCCTTTCAGACAGTTATGCCATAGAACAATGGTTCTCAACCTTCCCAATGCCGCCACCCTTTAATACAGTCCCCTCATCTTGTAGCGACCCACAAAGAATTATTTTCCTCCATAACTTCTATGAATATGTGTTTTCCGATCTTAGACGACACATGTGAAAGGGTCGTTCCACCCAAAAAAAAAAAAAAAAAAGGGTCACAACCGACAGGTTGAAAACCATTGCTCTAGAACAGAGATGAAGGTGTTGGTACACAGTGTAGCTTCAAGGTATTTAAAATATGGGAACACATGACAGTTTAAAAAAAAAAAAGCTTGGGGGAGAATGATGGAAAGTATGTTTATTTTGAATGCTGCAAATGTTGAAAGCAACCTGGTTTGTTTTGTTGATAAACTGTAATTGTATTCTTCAAAGTTGTAATATTGTGCCAGCTCTTTGGGAGTGAGTGAACAGTGCAGAGGCACAGGTAGATCATTACGGTCTGAGGAGAATGGCACTGCAAGGAGTTACCAGGGGATCTAGCCGACGCTCAACACTCAGGGGAAGGGTGAGACAGATGTACAATCAGACAGTTACATGTACAGTCGGAATTTGAACTCTTCGCTTGCTGCTGAAGATGGGGACGGAGCGCTTATAGGGGTGTCCCGAGTGCTGTGATGTTGATTGCTAATTCGACAAAGTTTTAACATGCTTCATGTTTTTGATGTATTTTTTTTTAAATAAAAGATGTAAGCGTGTTTGTATTTGGAGTGACCATGTATATTAAATAGTTTCATTAATGTATTTAAGTTTTAGTTTCAGAAGCTGTTTTATTTTAACAAAACAATAATTGCAAGCTTGTATTAAATACTGTATGTTATTTTACAGTTTGATAGTATATGTATTGGAAATACATTATCTCACATTCTTCTTTCATTGTTATAAAGACTTGATTCTTGATTGCATTAAATATTTATTGCTGATTGCATCGCAGATTAACGATTAAAGTATGCTTGAAATATATACTGATTCCTATTTGTTGTATTTATTATTATTATAAAATGAAATACTTTATGTTTGTATGAAATAGTTCATGTTTGTGTGAAATACTTTATGTTTGTATGAAATATTTGTGTTTGTGCTAAAGACTGAGTCAAGGATTACACAGTAATTATCACGTGTGTTATAAATTAAAGGCGGTTTACACAGGAGGATCTGCCTGCAGATTAGTGAGGCAAGATTAATGCTGTCGCCACAAACTGCGCAGGTTACAATTTTTATTTTTGTAACAGCCGAATGTAAGATGGGTTAACGTGCTACATTTGCAACCATTTTTGTTCCATATATTCCTCTACTGACATCAATGTGATATCTTGATACATGATATCTCTATACATGAGATATCTTGATGCATTTGATATCTTGATACATGTGATATCTTGATTCAGATGATATCTTGATACATGCAATATCTTGATACATGCCACATCTTGATACAGGTGATATCTTGATACATGTGACCAAATTCCTGTTTCTAATGTATACCTAACATGAATAACTGTTATGCATATTTTTTTAAGAACTATGACAAAAATAGGACAATCAAATTTATTTGACATAAGTGTGTTTTGTTTTTGTTCCTGTGATACAGGCCTGGCATCTTTGCGTCAGGCTGACATAATATGGCCTCATCAGCCACATGACACATTAAGGCAAACCTTTTGGCCAGAAAGAACAACAGTGGAACGTAAACTCTATGGACCACTGAATGAACTAACAACGACAGTGAAATTTATACAAGAGACAAAACTGCTGATATAGATAACTTATTTCAGGCGAACGAAAGAAGAAAGAAGATCAGCCACATGTTGGATGACAAGCCACTAGGAGCACTCAACTTTAAAAAATAAATCATAGCTTAAAAGACAGACCTCAACGGTCATCAGCGGTAGCTGGGCATCTCCAGGAATCGTCTTGCCAAGGACATAGATGACTTCTGGCAGAACTGCTGAGGTCAAGAGACTTGCTGAGGGGTTGATGAACTAGGCAACTCTTCCTTGCTAAAATGTAATCCAATGCGCAAGTCATCTTTTATCCATCTATTATGTTTTTTTTCTCCTTGAGACTGCTTTATGTATCTATTTTTATTCATTGTTTTTTTTTTTTTATGGATTGTTTTAATCGATGTGAATCAAGGAATCTCAGTCTTTGAAAAAGAAAATCAGAGCTTTTGAACTAAAATACTACAGAAAGATTCTTAGAAAACAGTAGACCAAGAAGAAGAAAGACATCCTGCATCTCCTAAGCATCTAGGAGAACTGGCTCATTAATTAAAACCTTTAGCACCCCACAATAAAAATCGAACTGGCTCAGAAAAATTGATCACACAAACCTACTCTCGGCCTCCTAGCAATCAAAACAGACAAAGAGGAAGTGAAACCACTCTAGAATAGTTATTTATAGTTTTCAAGTGACGTCACACGCGTAGCTTCGTTTAGGCTTCGTATTCCCCAACCATATATAGATGTCGAGTATACTCGACTGTGGGAGGCTACGAGGTGGGCGGCTGAAGTCCAATATACTCGACTGTGGGGTGCTACGAGGTGGGCGGCTGAAGTCCAATATACTCGACTGTGGGAGGCTACGAGGTGGGCGGCTGAAGTCCAATATACTCGACTGTGGGAGGCTACGAGGTGGGCGGCTGAAGTCCAATATACTCGACTGTGGGAGGCTACGAGGTGGGCGGCTGAAGTCCAATATACTCGACTGTGGGAGGCTACGAGGTGGGCGGCTGAAGTCCAATATACTCGACTGTGGGAGGCTACGAGGTGGGCGGCTGAAGTCCAATATACTCGACTGTGGGAGGCTACCAGGTGGGCGGCTGAAGTCCAATATACTCGACTGTGGGAGGCTACGAGGTGGGCGGCTGAAGTCTAATATACTCGACTGTGGGAGGCTACGAGGTGGGCGGCTGAAGTCCAATATACTCGACTGTGGGAGGCTACGAGGTGGGCGGCTGAAGTCCAATATACTCGACTGTGGGAGGCTACGAGGTGGGCGGCTGAAGTCCAATATACTCGACTGTGGGAGGCTACGAGGTGGGCGGCTGAAGTCCAATATACTCGACTGTGGGAGGCTACGAGGTGGGCGGCTGAAGTCCAATATACTCGACTGTGGGAGGCTACGAGGTGGGCGGCTGAAGTCCAATATACTCGACTGTGGGAGGCTACGAGGTGGGGCGGCTGAAGTCCAATATACTCGACTGTGGGAGGCTACGAGGTGGGCGGCTGAAGTCCAATATACTCGACTGTGGGAGGCTACGAGGTGGGCGGCTGAAGTCCAATATACTCGACTGTGGGAGGCTACGAGGTGGGCGGCTGAAGTCCAATATACTCGACTGTGGGAGGCTACGAGGTGGGCGGCTGAAGTCCAATATACTCGACTGTGGGAGGCTACGAGGTGGGCGGCTGAAGTCCAATATACTCGACTGTGGGAGGCTAAAGGTGAAAGCTCAGGTAGTTTGGACATGTCAAGCACCATGGTGGTTTGGAGAGAATGTTGATGGACAGTGCAGTTTCTGGAAAGTGAGGGAGAGGCGGACTTCAGCAAAGGTAGGTACAGGACACTGAAGATGATTTGGCTATGAAAATGCTTTTTCACTAAATAGACATACCCTGGGTGTACCAACCGGAGATGTGAGACAGAAAAACCCATGCCAAAACCACCTGTTGTTACATCAATCATAACAGAATGGGAGCTGTTAGTCTAAAACACTTAGAGACATAGAAGGAGATTGGAGCACTTATGGTCATGTGAGATGAAGATGGTCTTTAAAATTAACAATGGCTATGAAAGCACACAGGGCTGGAAAATTGACAGGGAAAGGAGACTTTCATTTGTGCAACATTCTGTAATGCACATGCTGATTGATTGTCTTTGTACTGATGTTCAACATAATGAATGCAGACACATTTACCATTTTCTTTGTGATGTTAAAACAAATACGTGATCTTTTATACTGGACCATCGAGTGTATCAACACAGATGTCTACCAAGAGAGTTAACTCAAGGAAAAGGTGAGACGGATGTACATTCAGACAGTTACTGGCACCATCATAATTGAAACTCTTCGTTTGCTGCAGAAGATGGGTACCGAGCGCTCTTGGGATTATCCTGAGTGTTATGATGTCAATTTTTAATTCAACATTCCATCAGAGATTTTGCAGCAATCATCATCCACTTTTTGGGTGTTGATAACAAATGTTTGTTCTCTTATCTTTTTTTCTCTAATTTACTAAAACATACAACAACATTGATCATCTGCTTTGTTTGTGTTGATAATAAATGTACAATCTTTTATACCAGATTATCAAGTGTTTTATCTAATACTTCTACTAACAAATTCAACAACATTCACCATCTGCTTTGTTTGTGTTGACTGCAAATGTATATATAACCTTGCTAATGTTGAAAATAATAAATTTGCTATAATGATCACTCTGCATTTGTTCTTTCCTCACTGTTTGCATTTTCTTCTTTATCTTGTTTTGCATTTGGTGTCTTCTAGTTGTCTGCTGATGAAAGCTTGTCACCGCAACATCATGGTCATTGTAATGGATATTCTGTACAGCTTATCTAAACTTTCATTTTTTTCACTGGGTAACATCATCATAGAAAATGAAAAATATCATAGAGAGGCAGCTGGCCAAATGTTTAAGAACCCGACTCTCATGTGGATGCCAAAAATCTACTGTATTCAGTGGCTGTGAACTCCCAGCACAAAGTTCTGGTGAACTCCCAGCACAAAGTTCTGGTGAACTCCCAGCACAAAGTTCTGGTGAACTCCCAGCACAAAGTTCTGGTGAACTCCCAGCACAAAGTTCTGGTTGTTGATAAACTTCTGGGCTATTTCCTTGTTCCAGAATGTGAGTTTTGAATGGATTACACATTTTACTGATCTGGCTTATTTGTATGCAGACTGTTGGTTCCTCACATCTGAGGCACAAAAACATCCCTAAGTGGTCGTCCATTGACACATTCTTGTTTGGAGGCGGTTGATGTATCAACCTCCTGTCCCTCCCCCACCCCACCCAAATATGGCCCTCCAGAACCCTCACGGGAAAGACCCAGGTTCAAAACTTTGGTATGTTCATGGGTTATTTTCTATCCTCACCAAAAATAAATTCCTTAGCAGCTCAGAACCCCTCCCCCCTTTCCGAGACACATTCAAACAGCAAAAAAAATACATTGATAAAAACAAAACAGTCATGCACCCTGACAGCAATGAAACAAAAGAAAACAAGACATGCATATAATCCAACAGCCATTAAACAAAACAGCCATTACAAAACAGCCATTAAACAAAACAGACATTAAAAAAACAGCCATTAAATAAAACAGCCATTAAACAAAACAGCCATTTAACAAAACAGCCATTTAACAAAACAGCCATTAAACAAAACAACCATTAAACAAAACAACCATTAAACAAAACAGGCATGCTGTATTCGCATACATTTTATTAATTTCAAGAAAAGATAAGCCTCAACATGATCACTGTTTTTAGATTCACAGTTCTGGAAATAATTTACATAAAACCAGTTATTACATATCCAATTAGGATTCAAGTTTTTCACAAAGCAAACAGTTGGCGAGCCAGTCATTCAGATCCCAGCAACTCTTGAAAGAGATTTAACAAGTTTTTCAGTCCAAAAATGTAGTCAGTATCTGGGCCAGTGTGTTTAATTTGGTCCATTGTGAATCCCTGATGCGTCGTGTGAGCAAAGTCGATCATTTTCACATCAACTTTGACGCTGTTTCCTGCAGGTTGAGATAACTCTAGCGTGTGACTTGACACAGAGCCTCCTTCACATGTCATTTGCTTGACATGTGAAGTGACATTTGCTAAAGTACTTATGCTTGCAGCAGCACTGACAGAAACATACTCCTTTAGTTGGTCCACTTCTGGCATAGGTTTATCATTAAATGCTAAATCTCCAACAGAAACATGTGGAATTTGTTTAAGATGATTCTTTGCGACACCATACTCCGTAACTAGAGGGAGTTTTTCTACTGCTTTTATTGATGCAGACTGTGTATGGCAGGCTGCGGGTACATGTGTTTCTGTGGATAAGATGACTGAAGGCAGAGCAACCTCAGCAGCGTTGACTGTTTTCACTGTCTGTCTATTAGTGTCTGAAGACAAAGTCTGTTGTTCAGAACTGACCACATCTTGTGGCGAAACTCTGTGACAAACAGACAGTGTCTCCTCATCCAACAAATTAGGCACCTGATCAATCCGATGATTATTCTGCAACAACAATGCATCCCCAGTCTTACTGTTCTCGGGGTCTGGTAAACTTCTATCAGTGTTAGGCATTTGTTTGATGGAATCTGTTTTCAGGGATGATGATGATGAAAAAGGCAAGTTTGGAGTATCTGAATGTTGGTGAATAACATTAGTACTAGATGGATGATCTCCCAGTGACTCTGTAGAAGACACATCTTGTGCTGGAAGCTCTGCCAACAGCACACCACATTCAAACAAGTCAGACACAGAATTAAGCTGTTTTCTAGGACTGACAAGTGGTTTTGGGAAGTTGCCCAAGAGGTCAACAGAGCTTGAATCCCAAGAAGTATCAACAGCCTGAGTTTTTGCAGACTCGAAGCATTCTCTAGATGACACAGGATGTTCAACAGCAGATTGTGGGCTGGTCAAAGGGCACAATTCCTTAGAAGATTGAACAACATCACCTTGACAAACTTTTTCTGACGAGTAATGATTCCCGTCTTGGATATTACTTCCCCACGAAACCAGCTCCGGAGAAGAAAACACATTGTCACTAAGCTGCTTATTTTGAATCAACTCCTGAGAAGAAAGGACATGATCTGTGATGTTGTCAGCAGGTGCCGAGACCCCAGCAAAAGCAGGCTTAGCTTCCTGCACCTTGACCTCTTGGTTCCCACCGGTGACCCCAACGTCTCCATCATAGATTATCAGCAGCGAGCTGGCGTAGAACCGAAATGAATGAAGTCCTTCTAGACATGTGATCAGTTCAGATAGTCTCGATACGATTGGCTGAATCAGCTCTGAACGGAATCTGGTGCCATTGTGAAGGAAGTTGTACAGCATGCGTCTGAATGACAACTCATTCAGAGTTCTGCCGTGGTACTTGTCTACACTGTGATAAGCATTTGCATCAACCTGATAAACCTAAAACAAAGAATTGATATACGATTTTAGAGTGATAATCATTGTATTATTTTCCCGTATGGGTTCCGGGGCCCACTGTGGGGGGAAGGGGGGGGGGGGGGTAGCACATAAGATTAGACCCTCTTCAATAAGCATGTTAATTAAATGGTATGATAGAATAACTAATGTAGAGCTTTGGGAGAGAACTAAACAGGCTCCAGTGGACCAAGAGGTGAGGAAAAGACGCTGGAGTTGGATAGGACACACACTGAGAAAACAGGAGAACAGCATAACTAGAATGTCTTTGCATTGGAACCCACAGGGGCATAGGAATAAAGAAAGGCCCAAAAAACACATGGAGAAGAGAGCTGGAGAATGAAGTTAGAAAGATGGGGATGACATGGGGAGAACTCCATGCAATGGCGAAGGATAGAACGAATTGGCGTGAGTTGGTTTAGGGCCTATGCTCCATTGGGGGATAGAAAGGCAGAAGAAGAAGAATAAGCATGTTGTAACAGTCAACTAATTAGGAGCTTCCTTCACAGTGTGAGTGCATCATCTGCCTGAGAGGCAAGGAATCAACAGCCTGCAAATGAATAAGCCAGATCTGTAAAATGGATGCACATTCAAAACTCAAGTTCTGAAACAAGACTGAAGTCCAGAAGTGGACAAACAACTAAGACTTTCAACCGGAGTTTTACAGCCAGTAAACCTTAGGAAGCAGAAGAAGAAGACTGTATTACCTAAGGTTACTTTTTCACATCAAAAGGAAGAAAGGAGAGAAAAAATCGACTACAATTTGCAAAAGCAAATCAGGTAAAGGTTTGACACACTGAAGGATTCCTTTGTCTATCAAAGCAAATATAATGAGAACTGTATATATTTTCTTTTCTTTGCTAACTTTATGCTACCAGTGTCAAGCAAGGACCCTTACTACAAAGTGTCACAGAGAAGCTTAGCAGCTTCCATTGGTAACAACCAAAGGACCTTTTTCCATGCCTTCATGGGTTGGTAGTCAGGTAGTCTTAGTTTCAGCTTCATAGCAACGGGTCGCCCCATCTTTGCTCCGCTCCTGTGCCAACAAAAAACACTCAGAATGTTTATCACAGTCCCTTGTGGAAAGATTGATAGACTGCTGTCTCAGCATATCTAGCATACACTCGCGTACGGTAGCCATCCGAAGTGCTAACACAAACAGTCCAACATTAGAAATGCAGTTCATCGTTGAAGATAGCAGAACTTGTCGCCAACAGTTCAGCAGTTGTAAACGCGATCAATTTTAACCAGATACAGGCACCGCCAACATTGCACGCCATTTTCTGAATCTACAATTCACACCACCACGTTGGTCACAGTCGAAAATACATTCCAAATGCAATCCGCAGCTCACAGGGTCACGCCATGCATTCAACTCAGAAGCTGGGCGACAAAACTATATCCAGTCTACAAATGGAGCAAAAATACTTCGGCCACTGTCCCGCAGAAGCAAAAAATTTGCCTCTGCTTCGAACAGCGCCGCTGTCTAGCGTCCATTTTAACCGGAAGTTCTTCATGGGTTATGGGCATATAGGGGTAGACATAAATTGTACAGACCAATCAGCACTGGCCGAACGTATCAAGAGGCAATCAAGTTAATAATTACAATTAAGCCATACAATCATTAAAGAGCAAACAGATGAGATGGTTTGGTCATCTGACAAGAATGCCCTTGTACCAGCTACCACAGAGAGCCATGCTGGAGAAATATCATGAAAACAGAACAGGGGGAAACATTCAGCAGAAGATGAATGGCAGTATGAAGAACAGCCTTAAAGAAATGAAGATCAACTTATACAATGCATTAGAAAAAGATCACACAGAATATTCATACACCCTCCCAACACTTTTATGTGGCAATTACTGGACGAGGAAAAGGAGAAGATTCTTTCATCATCCCAAACATTTTGATATGGTGACACTAAACAACAATGAGCCATGACCCCTTCGAATTAGAGGGGGAAAAAAAACCTTAAATCCTAAAAAATTGTATTTTACAAAGATCAGTAATAAATATGTTGAAAAAAAAAAATTATTTGTCTGCAAGTTTTATTTTCTTTAAAAAAATAAAAAAAAAATTATATATATATATATATATATACACACACACATGAAGATAAAAATAAACATGAAAGGGTAAAGCCCTAAATGGAATACATTCCCTACGGTATTAAAAAAAATATGTATTAAAAAAATATGTATCGGGTGACTCAGACCATGACCTCTATTATCGAGGCTTACAGAGAAAATCTGAAGCCAGCTTGGCTTCAAAAAAAAAAAAAAAAGCTATTTTTTTCAAAGAAAAAAAACCCTAAATGCTATTTTTAGTGAATGTATTCCTATCCTGACCTCCTGTGAAAACAGCCAATAGCATTAACTATGCAGCCTGTAAACAGGTCATAACAGAGAAATCAGGAAAGTGACATTTATGCAGAAATGGACCCAAAAGGCAGTGCTGGTCTGGCAGCTTCTTGGGGAGAAAGGGTTAAAGTCCTGTGTCCATCATCATGTTTGTCAACCCAACTACTTCTTTCAGCAGCAATGTCAGCCATATATGTAGTTTTCGAACCACTGTGGTATTTAAAAACTGTGAAATACCCTGCTTGGGTTCCGCAGCCCAATTAGGAGTGGTAGAGTGTACCCCCCCCCCCCCCCCCCGACAAACCTGCATCCCAAAATGACCCCCCCCCCTGACAAACCTGCATCCCAAAATGACCCCTTGACAAACCTGCATTACATACAACCTGCCTCCCAAAATGACCCCCTGACAAACCTGTATCCCAAAATGACCCCCTGTCAAACCTGCTTCCCAAAGGCCCTTTGACAAACCTGCATTACACACAAACTGCCTCCCAAAATGACCCCTAGCAAACCTGCATCACACACAACCTGCCTCCCAAAATGACCCCTAGCAAACCAGCATCACACACAACCTGCCTCCCAAAATGAACCCTAGAAAGCCTGTATCCCACACAATCTGCCTCACAAAGATGACCCCCTGACCTACCTGCATCCCACACAACAAGCCTCTCAAAGATGACCTCCTGACCTACCTGCATCCCACACAACAAGCCTCTCAAAGATGACCCCCTGACCTACCTGCATCCCACACAATCTGACTCCTAAAGTGCTGGAAGTGGTTCGCCTGCACTTCTCTGATTGGCTGGCCACTTTCATGCTGGAGGCATTATCACCATGCAGACGTGACCCAATCTTGAGGTCAAGGATACAGGGATGGCGGAAGTCAGCAACAACATTCTTCAGAAGGATAAAACCTTACAAACCAGTCAAGGTCACAAACTTTGCATTCTATTTTTAAATAAGCCATATTTTCCTGTGTATATGATATTTCCCCCAAATATTTTAATTTTAAAATTGGGGGTGGGGGGGGGGGGGGGGGGCATCTTTTTACATGGAATGTAAATATATAAATAAATAAATCAGAGCTGCTATCCTTATTTTTTTCCCCAAGCCTCAACTCACAACCTCATGAAAAACCCTGGATTGATACCCTGCCCCTCAATAGCCCCGACTCCAGATAGTGCCCCCTTCCCCTGGTTCCCTCGCCGCCCCCTTGGCCACCCAGATCCCACAATATCAAAGTTGTTCTGTTTGGAAGGGCTGGTTGAACGGTTAGAATGCTGGGCTTTCAAGCAGGAGACCCAGGTTCGAATCCTCGGTAAGGCTGGGGATTTTTTCTGTTAGTGGCAAAATAAAACCTCACTTGCACAGTCGTAGCAACAGCACTAGCCATGCGGCTGTAAATCCTCAGACTTAAAGACCAAACCCTAACCCCCCACACAAAGTGTTATAATAAAAGCAGTAATTTGCAGTTCTGCTTGGTGTTTAAAATATTTATTCCATAATTCTGAGCTTAAAAACAGAGGTTGTCTTAAACAAGGAGGCATTCTATACATAGGAACTACACTATATAAACAGTGCTGCAAACACATTCATTTTTGTGTCTTTTACTTAAAATTAAACAACAGTATAGTTACATTATCCATCTATTTAGAAAGTGTATATATTTTAAAGTTTTCTGAGAACAGTTTATGTAATATAATGCAGTAGGGGCTTCAAAGCCATAACAGCTTAGGGCCTCATAGAGTTTAAACCCAGACCTGTATATAAAGTAAAAATTATAGGGACCTTTTCATGTCAGTGATGTATCTTTTCATGTCAGTGACGTATCCTTTCATGTCAGTGACGTATCCTTTCATGTCAGTGACATCACACGCAAGTGGTATTAGACCCTTATGTTTTATAGATAAACTGACACTTGATGAGTGGTGTGAACAACATCAAACCAGACCGTCTGTACTTCCAAGGACACTTCCTGCTGCCCAGTTTAGACTGGGTCGATCTCACAGCAGCTCTATTATAAAAAGAGCCCACCTGGATAAGATTCAAACATCAAAACTAGATAAAATAATGTAGGATAATTCTTGGTACAAATGTTCCGGCTGAAGGCAACTTCACAGAGACTTGGGCACATGATCATCCAGCAGCAGAATAAGCATATAACAACCAACACCAAAAGAGCATTTTTCAAAAGAATATTTTTACCAACACTGCGTTACCAGTACCAAATGCAGACATTAACAACATTTTGAAAAAAAAATGAAAAGAGCTAATAAACTAGCTGAGGAAAGTGCAAATGAAGAACAACCTGACATACCAGTCTCTTATCAGCAGAATAAGAGAACAATCAAATTAATCAGAAAGCCACCAAAACTGCCACAAGACGGTTATCATTTTATGGACAAACCAGAGCAAGTTATTATTCTATGCCTTAGAACATGACAATTGATTTCGCAGCCACATGTAGACAAAATTTAAAATTGATGAATCAGCCATGTGCACATGTGGACTAGCACCTGAGACAACGGATCATGTCCCCCAAGACTGTCCCAAATACAACATATCAAGGCAAAACTGTTGGCCAAGAGAAACATCGGTGCAGGTCAAACTTTACGGGTCACTGAGTGAATTACAAAAGACAGTGAAGTTCATAATAGAGACAACATTGCAGATATAGATAATTTCAAGTCAACGAAAGAAGAAGAAGCAGAAAATTTAAAATCCTAAATCTAACTAGAAGAGACAGAATCAGAAATGAGAATATCAGGAAAGAAGCTGGGACAGAAACAGTACTAATCTACATTGACTTTTTGAGTCCCAAGGAACGCATCCTACGTTCATATATTCCTACCTAGAAGCCCAATAAACGCAAGATGCGCCGATTTTACATCTCTTTTGACTACCCCTTTGGCCTGTGATGCTAAACCCCCTGGGACCCAAAGAGTTAGGAGACAACAGATGAAATGCTTTGGACCTGTGCCAAGACTACCACCAGACAGTGCACCACACAGAGTCCTGACACTTAGACATAATGGAAGCAGAGGCTGGGCATCTATATAGCATATACCAAGTCTTGCCCCCAATACCTCTTCAAAACCTGAGGCTGAGAGGCAGAACAGGACTAGTGAAGAAGAAGATGAAGAAGACAACAAAGATCATCAGGCTGGAAAGCTAATGAGCATGCTAACAACTGTATATGTAATTCGGTGTATGTAAGTCTATGTGTGTGTATGTGCTCCTGCACACATACACTTGTGGTCTGAAAGATCAATGCTAGGAAGGGCCAAAAGTAGGATGGGCCTGAGTGCCCAATCTGTAACCTCTGAAAATAAAGATAGTTTATACCAAACTGCAGGCTATTCAGGAAATATCAGGGGTGCATGTAGGGTCTAAGCACCAAAAGATTTTGGTGGCCCCATAAGCTATAAGGCTTATTTACTATAAGACTTCGACAAGAACGATGACCAAGCCTCCATTGACTGTGGAGAGCAGTTACCAGATTCTAATTTTGTTGTATTCCCAAGGTTATGGAAAATTTCCAAGGCTATGAAACATTTTTTCCCATGAAGCCTTAAGCTTATTTTTGCATATCAGTTAATCCCCCCCCCCCCCCCCCCCCCCCTCTTTCCCATTTTTCTGAGTGTATGAACGGAAATTTGTGACAACAGAGAAGAAATGCCTTAGAAGAGCTGCAGGATTTTCAAGGAAAGACAGAATACGAAATCATGAAATCAGACGAATGCTAGGAATAAAGCCAGTCTTACAGGTCATCAAAGAACAACAGATGAAGTGGTTTGGACACCTAACAAGAATGTCCTGGTACTATCTGCCACAGCAAGCCACACTAAAACGTTACAATGGGTATAGAGCGAGTGGAAGACCTCAGAAAATATGGAGTGATGGCATTAAGAACAGCCTTACAGAAATGAACATCAGTCTTAATAGTGCTCTTGACAGAGCTCATCAATTAACATTACACCCCCCCCCCCCCCCTCCACGACACTTTGATGAGGTACAGAAGAAGATGAAAGAACACATGTCCAAGGATACGTATCTTATCGTGGCTGTGCTCTGACTTGCGCATCTTGTCCAGCAGTCTCTTGTGGTTCTTCAAACTCCACGGATTTAAGCTCTGGGTGTGCGGCTGGTCCGGCTTGGAGTCTGCTGTGTAGAACACTTGGTTGGTAGAAGCACAGACCTCATAACTCCCACTCCTCAACAGTCGAACAGTGCTCCTGAAAACAACACCACACAACATACATCAGTACTTTCATTCACTATACCTTCATATTAAGCAAAGGGACAACTGACAGGAAAACTGTTTCTTCTTCTTCTTCTTCAACATCTTCTTCGATCCTTCTGTTAGAAAGCTCATCAGTTATAAGTTAAATTTAAAAAAAAAAAAAAAAAAAAAAAAAAAAGAGATGGCAAAATACCGGGTACATCCTGAGAAAAGCTAGTAGAGAATTCCCAAACAGGCTCTTAAGTAGGAAACAAATAAATGCCCAAAAGAAACCAAAGATGCTAGACTCAATTCCATCCATACTGAAACTGTGGTGGAGTGACCAGCACCCTTAAATGTCAACCCGGCAGACATTAGTTTGAATGTCGATAAACATTTTTTAAACAAAGATATAAAGATATCTAGGCTTGTAAGTTGACAGCCCAAAAGTGGGTCCCAGACTTCCGGCCAAAATGGAGGAAAGGCTTGGCAGAATGTTAAGCTTCAAAGTTATTTTTGCTTCCGACAGCACTTAACTAATGCAGTTTCCACATAAGGATGGTAGTCTACGGTTTCGCTGCCTGAGCTACTAAGTTTAGTGCTTGGTGCAGCACTGTGAGCTGTGTTTTTCGTATGGAACGCCTTTCATTTGCGCAGCTGTTGTGTCATTTTGTTCAATATGGCCGGTGGCCGGTTTACGTGTGAGCTGGTAATTTACGTTATGTAAGAATTTTACGTGTGCGTATAGTAACCAGCTTATCGTGCCTGACTACTTCCATCAACGACAAATGGTGACGATTGTTGGCTTTGCCGCCTCGAGCAACTGTAATACGCATTTATTGCATGCACATATTGCTGGATTGTTCCGGAACAAGTTGTTTATTCACCAGTTGTTCATATGCGACCATGAGGGACATTTCACAGGAACGGAGCAAGTATGGGTATACCCGATAGCGGTGATGTTGAAACCTCGACCAACTAACTAACTTAGTGGGTCCCAGGATATTTATGGCAAGTCAAGGCAGCCTGTGTGATCCTGACATCACCCACTAAGTGAGGATTATCTAAACAAATACTGGGCTAGCATCCTACATCAGTGAGGCTTCAAGGAATGGGCACTGATCCTTTACTGTTTCCTCAGTATTAAAAGGGAAAGGCAAGACGGATGTACAATCAGACAGTTACTGGTGCCACTGGAACTCTTCGCTTGCTGCTGAAGATGGGGACTGAGCGCTTATGGGGGGTGTCCCGGGTGCTGTGATGTCAGTTCCTAATTCAGTAAAGGATTGTGTATTTTATATTTGTATAGGCCATTTAACAAATTCAGTTACAATGTTGACCAAAAAATATTAGTAAAAAAAGCACAAAGGGGTGAAGGAGAGTGTGGTGGGGAGGTTTAGAGAGTGAGACAGAAACAGTGTGAAAGAAACAGGCAAGGAGAACAGAGAGATAGAGAGTAAGAAAGGTGGGGAGGGTTGGACGAGTGCTCATCTGTTACTAGGAAGTTTTCTCAAATCTAGATCTGAAAATCAAAAAGTGATATTATTTAAGTTATTCTGCATCTTTTCCTTTCCCTCTTCCAAAATTGTATAGTTATTCATGTATTTCCATGTTGGCCAGACTAATATTCCCTTTGTTGTGTTTTGTGTGTGTTTTTTGTTGTTGTTGATAAATGTTGCTGCTGAAATGCTTACTGTTCCTGTGTATGTATGCCCCCCCCCCCCCCCCCCCCCCCACAATCATAGTCCATTGGATTATTTTCTAAATGAGATGAAGCTGACACTGTCTTCTGTTCCTTTATGTGTGAAAATTAATTCACCCTGTTCTGAAGAACATACCAGGTGTAATTGGTTGTTGCTGATTTGTGCCATGAAACCTGTCAGGGGCTCAGGTGACTAAAGCAGCAGGACAGACAGGACGTCCCCCCACCTGATGAGACTGTTTCTGTGGGCAGTGAGCGGAAGATCTGGAAGACACCCAACGCATGGAGGAAAAATGGTGCGACGACCATGTTCACTCACAAATTCCTCCAACCACCACTACATTTGTTGTTATAAACACACCTTCTTTTCTATCTAATGATTTCTTCTTCTTCTTCGCATTCACTGGCTTGATACTCCAGCGGAAAGTTCTATTTGTTCATCCGCTTCTACTTTAAGTCTTATTTCAGAACTTAAGTGTTGCGTGCACATCCGTTTTACAGATATGGCCTATTTGTATGGAGATTGTTGGTTCCCAGCTTCAGGCAGATACCCACCAACTCTGAAGGAAACCCTAATTAGTCAACTCTATTAACATAATAAATCAAATGGTTTGGCCATGTAACAAGATTGGCATCAGAGAGGGCATCACAGAAAGCAATGTTATAGAGATACAGCAGAGACGGAGCCAGAGGTCGACCGCACAGAAGATGGACCACAGACATATCAGAGACACTGAAAAACATAGCAAACAGAAAGGCCTGTTCCAGAGACCTCTTCCTGCTCCGATGCCACGAGGCATTCCAGGAGTAGAGGAAAGAAGAAGAAGAAGAAGAAGATTTACATGCTTGTTGGAGAGGCAAGGGGGGTCTGTTCTTTTCTTCTTCCCTCGCCACTGGAACCCACATAAAGATTCCAGGATTTCAAAAGTTGAAGCACAAACTGCAGCCATTGCAATGAAGTTCAAAACAAGACATATTTGACAACTAAAATTATATTTTAGGCTACAGAATTGTGGAACCTTAACTACTTGACAGGAAACCTGATTTCACTTGCAGGTAAAGAACACCGAATGGGATTAATTTAAAAAGAAAAGGTGAAGAAATAAGAAAAATACCTGGAAAACTGGTTGCATAAACAGCTATAAGAAAAAGACAGGATGGCAAAATACTGGGCACATAGTGAGAAAAAGCTAGCTATGAATCACCAAACAGGCACAGCAGTAGGAAATAAATGAATGCCCACAAGAAACCCTAAGACAAACAATGATGAGGGAGAGAGACTAAAAATGCTGAACTGGATGATACTGACAAAACAACACAGCACAGAATGAATAAACTGCGAGCCCTACGTGACATTTCATGGCAAAACAGGATGACGATGGTGATGACCTTCCAAGGATAACAAAATAGCCAGTGAGCTGACTTACCCTTCTTATTTTCACTGTTCACTGGCTGTAAACTATGGCAGAAATTTTTGGTTGTTTGTCCACTTCTGAACTTTGGTCTGGTTCCAGGGCTTGAGTTTTGCGTGCTTATCCGTTTTACAGATCTGTCTTATTTTGCATGCAGAACAATGGTTCCTAGCCTCTCAGGGAGATGCACTCCATTTTCAAAGGAAAGACCTTTCATTAGTCACCTTTTAAGACATACTTGTTGAGAGGGTATTGAGTCTATTCATGTCCCCTGCCAAAATAGATACCCTAAACCCACACAGGGAAATTGACTGTCAGGAACTTAATTTACTCAATGCACTTACCTGTTCACAGAATCCTGTGTTGCTACCTTCGGCTTCACACTTGCTGGCTCGTGACCATGGTTTTCAGCCGGGCAAGTCCAGACACCATCATCATCATGTGCTTCATTGTCCACGCACAAACCATACAGTTGGATGTAGCCATCTTCTTCCATCAGCTGCACCTCAATCTCTCCTGGGAACACAACAAAAGCTGCTGTGAACTTACACATCATCATCATCAAGTGCCTTGACGACTGGTGAGGGTTATCATACCTCTCCACAATCTGCAGCTGCGTCTATCAGTTTGTGATAATGCCTCTCCACAATCTGCAGTCTGCAACTGCGTCTATCAGTTTGTGTAATGACACTCCTCCGTGCAAACTGGTGATAGTGATAATGCCTCTCCACAATCTGCAGTCTGCAACTACATCTATCAGTTTGTGTAATGACACTTCTCCATGCAGACTAGTGATGGTGATCATGCCTCTCCACAATCTGCAGCTGCGTCTATCAGTTCGTGTAATGACACTCCATGCAGACTGGTGATGGTGATCATGCCTCTCCACAATCTGCAGTCTGCAACTACGTCTATCAGTTTGTGTAATGACACTTCTTCGTGCAGACTGGTGATGGTGATCATGCCTCTCCACAATCTGCAGTCTGCAACTACGTCTATCAGTTCCTGTAATGACACTTCTCCATGCAGTCTGCAACTATGTCTATCAGTTCCTGTAATGACACTTCTCCATGCAGTCTGCAGCTGCGTCTATCAGTTCCTGTAATGACACTTCTCCATGCAGTCTGCAACTACATCTATCAGTTCCTGTAATGACACTTCTCCATGCAGTCTGCAACTACATCTATCAGTTCCTGTAATGACACTTCTCCATGCAGTCTGCAACTACATCTATCAGTTCCTGTAATGACACTTCTCCATGCAGTCTGCAACTACATCTATCAGTTCCTGTAATGACACTTCTCCATGCAGTCTGCAACTACATCTATCAGTTCCTGTAATGACACTTCTCCATGCAGTCTGCAACTACATCTATCAGTTCCTGTAATGACACTTCTCCATGCAGTCTGCAACTACATCTATCAGTTCCTGTAATGACACTTCTCCATGCAGTCTGCAACTACATCTATCAGTTCCTGTAATGACACTTCTCCATGCAGTCTGCAACTACATCTATCAGTTCCTGTAATGACACTTCTATATGCCCTGACTAAATGCCTGTCAAGATTCTTCTTGCATTGTCTTCCTCAGTTTCTGTTACAAAAAAAACTTTCCAGTGGTCACAGCATGCCCCAGTTTTCTTCTTCTCATAACGTGACTGAAAAATTATGACTGTCTCTTTTTTATGTTTGTGATAAGTGTCTTTGAGCCCTCGCCTTTTTCAAAACATCTGGGTTGCTATTTTTGGCTGTCCAAGGAACTCTAAGGATTCTTCTGTAAAACCACATTTCCGAAGCCTTAAGAAATTGTATAGCCTGTTTATTAATTGTCTAGGATTCACAGCGATATGTTAAAACTGGCTCTATATAGCAAGCGAGAATTATTTTCCTAACCTCCAGTAACATGGATTTGTTGCATAACATGTTCTATACTTCGATAAAATGCACTAAAATGTTCTATTCTGTTCTTTATCTACGTCTTTTGTCGGAAGTTATCCATGTACATACACATCAGTAGTTTCCAGTTAGCTCAGATCTGTGAATCCCACGTATTTCTGCAGATAATTTCTTTCCAAATTTGAACCCCATATTTTATTACAACAGTGATGCTTAAGAACTACTGTAATATATAAATATCAGATCAGCAAAAATGACTGCATTCTAAAACTCAGGGTTTTGTAAATGATATCACAAACTCATTAAATCTCTTGAGCATTCACAGACCACCAAATTGGAAAGCCCCTTTAACGTTAAAACAGTGAGTTGAGTTGAGTCAGAAGTGGCCTCACAGCACTCGGGGCATTCCCATGCATGCTCTGTCCTCATCTTCAGCAGCCAGCGCAGAGTTCCAATACTGACGGTACCGGTCACAATCTGGTTATATGACGGTCTTGCCTTTCCTCTGAGTCTAGTGAGCAGGCCTGGTTACACCCAGATGCCTAATTCTATTTTGAGACCAAAAGTCCAAGAAACCTTTTCTACACCTTCAGGCACATTGAACATACAGTGCCAGGCCTATATTTTACAGACCAATCAGCATTTGTATGGTGATGTGGTTCACCATCACACTGGCCCCCTTCACTTCCCAGGACTCCACCTAGTACCCAGTCAAGGCTGAGTCAAACTGGCAGCCAAGGACATTTAAACAAAACAAAAAAAGTCTGGCTCCATCATGACCTGAACCCAGGACTTTCTGATCCGCAGGCGAGCGTCTAGCCCTGGGCTCATTCAACTAAATTTCTCAGGGGCCCAAATGTGGAAAATGGTGATCCTCACAGGCCAGAGTCCCAGCATAGAAAGATCACTGATACAATACAACCTGAAGTGATCGGCAAGCCATTTGCTAGACTACCACGGGCCACACATGGCCCGTGGGCCGCCAGTTGAATAGGCCTAGTCTAAATGTGAATTAGAGAAGCTATTCATTTATGAACAAACCTAGGAAGACTGGCAGGAATAAGCAGAGGACCTATGACGCACTGAAGGCTAAAGAGCAGAAAAAGATAAATCTAGAAAGGTATAAGAAGGTACAAGCACACTTTCTATTAAGTTCTTACCTCTGTATTCAGGAGTAAACTCTGCAAGATCTGGGGGCAATGACTTGTAGACAAAGTGTTCTCTTGCTATCAAAGGTTTGCAAACCTGTGCAGTACAAAGATTTGGAATCAGATTTCAAACCGCTCAATGAACAAGACAGGTTTTTAAGGTTTTTGAATAATAGATTAACATCATGGCACACAGGTAGTAACCCATAAGTGCTCCGTTCTTCTTCTAATTCGCCTAAGTCCGAAGAAGCTCACCATAGTGCAAAAGCTCTTTAGCACTGCGAGGATCCTGAAATACTTAGGGGAAGATTTTTAACTCCAAATTTTGCCTGGGCAGAGCCGTTGGGCAACTCTTTTTGATTTCCAACAGCCAAGGAATTTTTTACGTGCGCAACAATACACACGGGCGTCCAATCACACTACCCAGAGACCAGGGGAGATTACTAGAAGTCCAAGTCCACATGAAAAAATCCCAGCCCTTACTGAACCGGGAACCTCGAGCACTCGAGGTGGAAACCATGCCTTGAGAACAATCAGTCCCCGCAATGAATAAGACAATAACCCTACACAAGAACCAAAAACAATTGTCATCATCATACAGAAAACATGGGAAAATAAAATGCTAAACACAAAACACAGTAATAGGAAAAGTTTTCAGAAATGAAACAAAGGCTGTTGAAATGGTGGCAGTAGTAGTGGTAGTTCATCAGGTGCATTCTGGCGCCCCATTTTAGGCAGAGAAAACGAAAATAGACACAGTGCCTTCCAAAATAGCATGGCCCAAAAAGGTCATAAATTAGGGGTGCTTTCTTTGAAGTCTGAGTGCATCTGTCAGAGAGGTGAGGAATCAACAGTCTACATACAAACAAGCCAGATTTGTCAAATAGATGTGTATGCAAAACTCTAGTTCTGAAACAAGACCAAGGTCCAGCAGTGGACAAACAGCCAGAAGTTTCCCCATAATTTACAGCCAGTGGAAACTGTGAAGAAGAAGCATCAGTGGTGGTGGAAGTGGTAGTTGCAGCTAAATTGGTAAGTAAGCACAGCAACCATAGTAAAACAGGATCTCTACCATGCGGAGAGCTGGGATCCTGGGAGCTGAGGTCAATTATTAAAATCAGTTCTGATGCCGATTCAAACCTAAAACCTTTAGGCCAGCATATAATTATGTCGCCACTGTGGATTCCAGGTCGCCACTGTGGATTCCAGGTCCCCACTGTGGATTCCAGGTCACCACTGTGGATTCCAGGTCGCCACTGTGGATTCCAGGTCCCCACTGTGGATTCCAGGTCGCCACTGTGGATTCCAGGTCGCCACTGGTTGAACAGATCGGCCTTTCTAACAATCATACTGTAAAAGTTGACAAATTAGGCTCATTTCCTTTGAGGTTGGAGTGCTTCTGCCTGAGAGGCGAGGAACCAACAGCCTGCATACAAATTAGCCACACCTGTAGAATGGATGGACATGTTCAGCTCAAGTTCTGAAACAAGACCAAAGTCTAGCAGTGAATGATGACCAGAATGTTCTGCTGGAGTTTAAAGCCGGTGACAGCTAAAAAGATGAAGATTATGGAGATGGCACTGGAGGGACTGAAGTTTCACATGCACAATATACACTAATGTTGAAAATCATCGTTAACTAAGTTTGTGCTGGTACCGTTGTCTTGTCATATCTCAGCATGGAGGACTGTCCAGCGACCTGGTGGCCAAAGGGCGACAAGGGCTGGGTTCCCTGGGCTGGTTGCCAGGGCATCGTCATGGGGGCTTCTATGAATGGGCTTCTATGAGTGGGCTGCTCAGAGCAGCCCAACTAGTTTAGCTCATGTTTCAGACACCTGGAATACACACAAAGATTTTTTTTTTAATATTTACAATGATGGTCACAGAGATAGTTTAGTTCATGTCACAGACAAAAATATGACTTTATACACTGACGCAATGGGAACAGGACAAGTATACTTCATGTCACAGACAAAAATATGACTTTACACACTGACACAATGGGAACAGGACAAGTATACTTCATGTCACAGACATCTAGAATACAAAGACACTTCTTAAAATACTGACAATGTTGGTCACAGAAGTGCTTTAGTTTATGTCACGGACAAAAACATTACACACTGACACAATGGGAACAGAACAAGTATACTTCATGTCACAGACATCTAGAATACAAAGACACTTCTTAAAATACTGACAATGATGGTCACAGAAGTGCTTTAGTCACGCCACAACAACCGAGTATACAGGCTAAAATACTTCTTAAAATACTGACAAAATGGGAACAGAAGTGCTTTAGTCACGCCACAACAACCGAGTATACAGGCTAAAATACTTCTTAAAATACTGACAAAATGGGAACAGAAGTGCTTTAGTCACGCCACAACAACCGAGTATACAGGCTAAAATACTTCTTAAAATACTGACAAAATGGGAACAGAAGTGCTTTAGTCACGCCACAACAACCGAGTATACAGGCTAAAATACTTCTTAAAATACTGACAAAATGGGAACAGAAGTGCTTTAGTCACGCCACAACAACCGAGTATACAGGCTAAAATACTTCTTAAAATACTGACAAAATGGGAACAGAAGTGCTTTAGTCACGCCACAACAACCGAGTATACAGACTAAAATACTTCTTAACATACTGACAAAATAGGAACAGAAGTGCTTTAGTCACGCCACAACAACCGAGTATACAGGCTAAAATACTTCTTAAAATACTGACAAAATGGGAACAGAAGTGCTTTAGTCACGCCACAACAACCGAGTATACAGGCTAAAATACTTCTTAAAATACTGACAAAATGGGAACAGAAGTGCTTTAGTCACGCCACAACAACCGAGTATACAGGCTAAAATACTTCTTAAAATACTGACAAAATGGGAACAGAAGTGCTTTAGTCACGCCACAACAACCGAGTATACAGGCTAAAATACTTCTTAAAATACTGACAAAATGGGAACAGAAGTGCTTTAGTCACGCCACAACAACCGAGTATACAGGCTAAAATACTTCTTAAAATACTGACAAAATGGGAACAGAAGTGCTTTAGTCACGCCACAACAACCGAGTATACAGGCTAAAATACTTCTTAAAATACTGACAAAATGGGAACAGAAGTGCTTTAGTCACGCCACAACAACCGAGTATACAGACTAAAATACTTCTTAACATACTGACAAAATGGGAACAGAAGTGCTTTAGTCACGCCACAACAACCGAGTATACAGACTAAAATACTTCTTAACATACTGACAAAATGGAAACAGAAGTGCTTTAGTCACGCCACAACAACCGAGTATACAGACTAAAATACTTCTTAACATACTGACAAAATGGGAACAGAAGTGGTTTAGTCACCCCACAACAACCGAGTATACAGACTAAAATACTTCTTAACATACTGACAAAATGGCAACAGAAGGAGTACACTTGATGTCACAGACACCTAAAATACAAAGACTTTGTTTACATACTGACAAAACAGGAACAGAACAAGAATACTTTTTACGTCAGTCACCTAGAATACAAATACATTTCTTAAAATATTGATACAGGGGAAACAAAACAACAGAACAAATATACTTCATGTCACAGACATGTAGACACTTCTCAATATAATGACAATGTGTCAGTGGAGGCAGTTTGCTTCACAGAGACACTTCTAAATATATTAGCAATTTATTTCAGGTGAACGAACGAAGAAGAAGAAGAAGATCCATGATCGGGATTGGAGTTCCAACACTTTTAGGCCAACAGGCGAGCGTCTAGCTGTTTCGCCACCATGCTCCCTCTTCGATAAAGGAAACAACATAAATATTTACAGACCGAGCAACAATGTCGGATGACGTTAATCTGATCTCCTCCGGGATGAGCATGTTGACACGACAGACACAGAATCAATTACCGCACCCCATATTCCCTAATATAATTTGCACATACACACAGTTTTTCATACAATGGTGTAGCATATTATTAGAAGATATCGGGAATGGGCCTTCACTATCTTCTCCTTCTTCTTGGCAGTCAGCGGCTCCTGTGGATAAAGTTCTGGGTGTTCGTTGACTTTAGTCTGGTTCCACAACTGAAGTTTTATAGATCTGGCTTTTTATTTTGAAGAGTGTTGGTTCCTCGAACAGATGCACCCCCTCTTCAAATGAAACATCCATAATTAGTCGACTCTTCTGACATGTTTGGGGGGGGGGGGGGGGAAGAACAACCACACCACCAACTCATAATCAAGGGACATGAATGATACAGATATTGAGAATTAAGGTAAATAGTCAGACGTGGATCGTGATGCTATAGATGTTGAGGTGGATTCATGTGAACAGGTTGCCTAGGACTGTTATGCATCTGAAAAAGGAGAGGCGAAAGTTTAAAAAATCAGTTAAGATCTGAGCGTCAAGAAGAAGCTCTTCAAATACAGTCGATGGTATGGCACAAGTGGTCCTAAAATCACACGCACTTGTTGTTGGTGACTTGTCTTAACTATTTTATTCCGGGCCAGGTACCACTAACTCATTGATTCTTTATTTTTTCTTCTAAAGTTATAGCAGTTTACATCCACAGCTGTTAAAATAGCTACAATAACAAGCACCAAAAGGGTTAAAATAACATTAGGATTAACACGTGCTATTTTAAGTCATAGTTGGGTTAGAAACAAAATATTTCAAAACAAAAAAGACATATAATGTCTATAGTATCCAGCAAAGGTATGGCAGTTTAATGTGCACTGAATGAGCTAATGCCATCTGGATTTGCTAGCCATTCTTGGCATTGTCAATGGCTTTGATTTCTGTACCTCCATATGGCAGTTTAATGTGCACTGAACGAGCTAATGCCATCTGGATTTGGCTAGCCATTCTTGGCATTGTCAATGGCTTTGATTTCTGTACCTCCATATGGCAGTTTAATGTGCACTGAATGAGCTAATGCCATCTGGATTTGGCTAGCCATTTTTGGCATCGTCAATGGCTTTGATTTCTGTACCTCCATATGGCAGTTTAATGTGCACTGAACGAGCTAATGCCATCTGGATTTGGCTAGCCATTCTTGGCATTGTCAATGGCTTTGATTTCTGTACCTCCATATGGCAGTTTAATGTGCACTGAATGAGCTAATGCCATCTGGATTTGGCTAGCCATTTTTGGCATCGTCAATGGCTTTGATTTCTGTACCTCCATATGGCAGAGCGCTGTTTGATAAAATGGTTCCCCGTGTGGAAATCAGGGCCATACTGGGACGGTGTCGGAGGGAGGGGGGGTTGTAGACACACAGCCCTCTAACAAGTATGTCATTAAAGGCTACTAATTAAGAGTCTGCTGAGGAAGAAGGAGAATAAGAAGAAGAAGAAAAGAAGAGGAGGAGGAAGAATAAGAAAAAGAAAAGAAGAGGAGGAGGAGGAGGAGGAAGAGGAAGAAGAAGAAGAAGAAGAAGAAGAAGAAGAAGAAGAAGAAGAAGAAGAAGAAGAAGAAGAAGAAAGAAAGAAAGAAAGAAGATAAGAATAAAAAGACAAGAAGAAGAAGAGGAGGAGGAGGAGGAAAAGAAGAAGAAAACAAAGAAGGGGGACGGATGAGAGGGCCCAAGTGCATAGAAAACAAGCATTTTTTTTACTCGGCACACAGAAAGTGTTAGGGATCATTTGCAGCCAGCACACAGAAAGTGTTAGGGATTATTGCAGCCAATCTTTGTTGTGACACATAGTACCTGATTCATAGATTGATAAAGATGATCTATGTCATCTTCCATTCCTTTTTCTTCTTTTCCCTTCTCTTATTTTCATCTTCTCCATATTATCCCCCCCCCACTCCCTTTTTTTTCCGTCCCTTCCTGTACTTATTCTTCCTCTCCTCCCACCCTCTCTCTCTCTTCAATGATGAACTGCAATTATAATACTGTGATAAACATTCTGTGTGTTTTTCGTTGGCACAAGAGCGGAGCAAAGATGGGGTGACCCGTTTGCTATAAAGCTGAAACTAAGAGACTACCAGACCAGATCTCTCTCTCTCTCTTCACAAAGAAGCAAAGACCCTTGCGCAACTAGCGCCAATGACATTAAATACAGCACAAACTTCCAGCCCTTGCAGTTAGACCTATACGCTGAAAAACGTTCGGACGGACGGACAGACAGGCAGACACAGGGATCAGAGAGGCATGCAGAAGAGGTCCGTGTTTACATATGGAAAAGTATCGATTGTAGGAAACTCTCAATCAAAGGGAGGTCAGCACAAGAGAATTAACTATGTCCAAATAAGTACTTAGCAATCGATAAACTACAACCGGTTAATCTGTGTTTGTAATCGTTAAATGTTATTATTACAGATAAACTTTACAGTTAAAAATAGTAGAAAGCCTTGTTTATATGCTCGATGATGATAATAATAATAACAACAACATATATTATTATTATTATTATTGCACAATTAAACAAGGTCTAAGCCCTTAGAGTCGCCTGGTCCTGTACAATTTTGGGAGCGGGTCCCAAGTGGCTTAAACCCTTGTTTAACCGAGCAATAATCATAATAATAATTTTATTATTATGTGCCGAATGCCTCCTTGAAAAAATATATATCTAGAATATTTTTTTTTTTGAGGAGGGGCTTCAATGTGTATGAACTCCCAGGTTCTGACGCCCACAAACGTCAGATGAAAGACACCGTATATTTATCTACAAATAAAACACGCATGCAGACATGAACCTAGTACGAGGGCTTAGTACTGGCCGCGGTTGCACTTTTCAAACCACA